CCGAACTCCTCCCAAGCCAGAGTTTTTGCCTAAACAACTGCCGCAGCTGCACTCCGCTTGGCCCGCCAGTACCCGTCAGCTGCTTCCGGAGACCCACAGACCAACCATGCCCTGTAGGCCTCCTTCTTCAGCCTGACGGCTCCTCTCACCTCTGGTGTCCACCAGCGGGTTCGAGGATTACCGCTGTGACTGGCCCCAGCGGCCTTGCGGCCACAGCTCACAGCAGCCACCTCGACAATGGCAGAGCGGAACAAGGCCCATTCGGACTCAATGTCCCCCTCTGCCCTCGGGATGCGGTCGAAGCTCTCCCAGAGGTGGGAGTTGAAGATCATCTTGACAGTTTCTTCCTCCAGGCGTTCCCAGCAGACCCTCACTGCTCGTTTAGGCCTGCCAGGTCTGCGCGGCGTCTTCCCCCGCCATCTGATCCAATTCACCACCAGGTGGTGATCAGTTGACAGCTCTGCTCCTCTCTTCCCCCGAGTGTCCAGAACATATGGCCGCAGGTCAAATAATACGACTACAAAGTCAATCATTGACCTGCGACCTAGGCTGTCCTGGTGCCATGTGCACCGATGGACATCCTTATGCTCGAACATGGTGTTAGTTATGGCCAAATTGCGACCCGCACAGAAGTCCAATAACTGAACACCACTCGGGTTCAGATCGGCAGGGCGTTCCTCCCAGTCACGCCCCTCCAGGTCCTGCTGTCATTGCCCACTTGAGCGTTGAAGTCCCCCAGCAGAACAATGGAGTCCCCAGTCAGGGCACTGTCCAGCACCCGTCCCAGGGAGTCCAAAAAGGGCGGGTACTCTGAACTGTTGTTCAACGCGTAAGCGCAGACGACAGTCAGGACCCATTCCCCGACCCGAAGGCACAGGGAAGCAACCCTTTCGTCTACTGGGGTGAACCCCAACGTACAGGCAGAGAGTCTGGGGGCTATCAGAAAGCCCACCCCGGCCCTCCGCCTCTCACCCGGAGCAACTCCAGCAAAGGAGAGAGTCCAACCCCTCTCAAGGACTTGGGTTCCAGAGCCGGAACTATGTGTCGAGGTGAGGCCGACTATATCAAGCCAGTAGCGCTCAACCTCTTCCACAAGCTCCGGCTCCTTCCCCACCAGAGAGGTGACATTCCATGTCCCAAGAGCCAACTTCCGTAGCTGAGGAACAGGACTGCCAAGGCCCCCGCCTTGGTCTGCTGCCCGATCCACACTGCACCGAACCCTTCTGGATCCCTCTGCGGGTGGTGGGCCTGCAGGGGGGACGAGCCCATGTAGCCGGTTCGGGCTGGGCCCGGCTGGACCCCATGGGCGAAGGCCTGGCCACCAGGCGCTCGCCCAGAGGCCCCAACCCCGGGCCTGGCTCCAGGGCGGGGCCCGGTAACCCTCCAGGCCGGGTACTCAAGCTCTCGTTGTTTTCCATCATGAAGGGTCTTTTGAAAAAGACTTGTTCAAACTTGTTTTCTTTAATTTGGCTGAAATAAATGAACACTAAGGGAAATATCAAGACAAGGAATCTTATCACAATGCATGGAGGGTTTCATCCCAAGTCCAGCACCCTGAGACTGTACACTAAGCAGAATGAGGGGGCTGAGGACTGGTGAGCATCAGAGCCACTGTCCAGGATGAAACAACCAAGATCCAGGAATACGTCAGGAAGATGGCCCCTAAAGATGAGCTGCTAAGTGAAAACCTCAGGCAGCAGAAGAGGAGGACGAACCATCATGTAAGAACAAGCCCCTGCACGGCATGTACCACTGACAGATTGAAGACCTAACCCTAACCCATCAAGAAATCCTACCAGTGGCTGGAAAAGGCTGGACTGAACTGGACAGCACAGAAGCACTAATCATGGCAGCACAGGAACAGGCACTTAGTACGAGATCAATAGAAGCAGGGGTCTACCACAGCAGACAGGACCCCAGGTGCAGGCTGTGCAAAGATAGTCCTGAGACAGTTCAGCACATAACAGCAGGGTGTAAGATGCAGGAAGAGCGTACATGGAATGCCATATCCAAGTTGCTGGCATAGTGTACAGGAACATCTGCACTGTGTGAGGGCTGGAAGTCCCAAGGTCAGAATGGAAGACACCTCCTAAGGTGGTTGAGAATGACCAAGCTAAGATCCTGTGGGACTTCCAGATCCAGACTGACAAACTGGTGATGGCTAACCAACCGGACATCATGTTTATCAGCAAACAACAGAAGAAGGCAGTGGTGATAGGTGTAGCAATCCCGAGGTGTGTCCTCCGTAAGCTTGGGTCCTCTACCAGAGGCCTGGGAGTTTGGGGGTTCTGCGCAGTATCTTAGCTGTTCCTAGGACTGCACACTTCTGGACTGAGGCGTCAGATATTGTTCCTTGAATCTGCCGGAGCCACTCTCCCAGTTTGGGGGTCACAGCCCCGAGTGCTCCAATTACCACTGGCACCACTGTTGCCTTTACTCCAAACATCTTTTCTAGCTTCTCTTTTAGTCCTTCGTATTTCTCAAGCTTCTCGTGTTCCTTCTTCCTGATGTTGCTGTCGCTTGGGATTGCTACATTTATCAGCACTGTTTGTCGATCAATACAATGTCTGGTTGGTGAGCCATCACCAGTTTGTCAGTCTGGATCTGGAAGTCCTGCAAGATCTTAGCTTGGTCATTCTCAACCATCTTAGGAGGTGTCTTCTATAGCAGACTCCTGTACTAAAAATATCTAAAGTGTAAATACTCATTATGCAGTAAATCCTCTATCACAGTGCGTGTAATTTTATATTGCAATATTGATTCATTGTGATTTATGGGTAGTGCTTTTTGACAAATCCAATACTGATAAATTAGTTTAGCCTCCACTTGGGTCTGTTACCTGTTTGCTGATGATCTGGTCTTCATGCTCTGTAGATTTATAACGCAGTACCCTGGCTGATGAAGTGGCTGCCTGGACCTCACAGGAAGATTTTCACTATGACACAATATATGATTGACTTTGTACAAGCCAAGATCAACGAACACAGAGGGAGCTTTGACCTGTCCTCACCAAGAGACTACATCGACTGCTTCCTCGCTGAGATGGAAGAGGTGAGTGTTTTTATGTCTGTGTTTTGTTTGTTCTCTTTGCATTTGCTGATGAAATATGTCAACCGACACTACAAACTGTTCTTTGTGTTATTGACAGATGAAGGACAAAGACTCTGGTTTTGATTTAGAGAATTTGAGTATTTGTGCTCTGGACCTGTTTGGTGCTGGAACTGAAACAACAACCACGACTTTACACTGGGGACTGCTGTACATGATCTACTACCCTCACATACAAGGTGTGTGTATGTATGAGTAATATCTGTCCCAACTGTAAGTGTCCTGACAAGAATCAGAGGTCCCTCAGTCGTCCACGCAGAACTCAGCCTCACTCTGTTTCCTGTTGTCACTGTGTGCAGAGAGAGTCCAGGCTGAGATAGATACTGTCGTTGGTTCATCCAAACAGCCCTCGATGACTGACAGAGAAAACATGCCCTATACTGATGCCGTCATCCATGAGATCCAGAGGATGGCCGACATAATTCCCCTCAATATGATCCACATGACAAACAAGGACACCACACTGGACAAGTACACACTGCCAAAGGTACATGGTGCACATGTGATTGCTTTACAGTATGTGAGCAACATTTAGCGTTACATTTAGGGATGCACCCATAGATAGATTCCTGAACAGAGGAGCCCCTCTGGCCTTCACCTGCAACATTTTTTTGGGCAAATTTTGGCCAAAATTGATGCGACACAACAGAAAAACATCGGCCACCGCTGACTGACAGTCAACAAGGTGAATATCGGCCAATACCGATGTTTGGCCGATAAATTGGTGCATAACTAGTTGTATTGTTACTTGGCAGATACATGACAGTGCATCTCAGGCAACACAAAGCAGCGTAACAAATTTCTTTCCACAGTAGTGCATTTAAAAACAGTAATGTGTAATACATTGATTGTTTGAGATACAACCCCAATACTGACTAAAACAAACTCGCCAGAGGAAGAACTTCCATTTATTGTTTTCATATATGATATCTTCTCAGGGCACCCCTGTCCTGCCCACGCTGACCTCAGTTCTACGTGATGAGACGATGTGGGAAACTCCACACTCCTTCAACCCTCAACATTTTCTGGACAAGGACGGCAAATTTAGGAAGAGAGAGGCCTTCCTCCCCTTTTCAGCAGGTCAGTCAGTAGTCTCTAAAACTGAGTTATATGTTCTGAGCTGCAGCATTATCATGTGGTCAAAGGAGAAATTGTGTGACTTTGTTCAAAATCAAATTTATTTATTTATAGCAGCTAACCCTAACCCACATTTAAAAACAACTCACTTTGACCAAAACACACAAGAGGCAACATAACATTCAAGTACACAGCTCACACATTTAGAGACACAACACACACAGGCATGCATCAGGGAAAGCCACATCAGAGGGACTCAAACACTGATGAATGAAAATGGGTTTGGAGCCTGGACTTAAAAGAGTCAATGAAGGGGGCAGATCTGATTGGTAGGGAGATGCTGTTCCACAGGTCTGACATGTAGGACGGGGCCAGACCATTAAGGGCTTTGTAAACAAACAGGAGAACCCGAAAGTCAGATCTGAGCTTTACAGGCAATCAGTGGAGAGAGGCCGTTCTTTAGTACTCAAGGCAGTTTATAAGACTGGCAACACTGGGCTGGTGTTTAGTCTTGAGAGAGAGATACAGCTGTGTGTCGTCAGCATAGAAGTGGAAGGAGATGTTATATTTTTCAGTAATTTTGCCGAGAGTAAGGATGTACAACAAAAAGAGAATATAACTCATCTGTTGTGTATCGTCAGGTAAGCGTGTGTGTCTCGGGGAGCAGCTGGCCAGGATGGAGTTATTCCTCTTCTTCACCTCCCTCCTTCAGAGGTTTTCTTTCTCAGCACCTGCTGGAGAGCAGCCCAGTCTGGATTACAAGTTAGGAGCCACTCTGTGTCCCAAACCTTACCGCCTCTGTGCCGTACCACGATAAACCACCGCCTGCCCCAAACTGAACCATCACCAACACAAAGAGTCCCTCTGTCTAACTACAGTTATCTTGTGATGCATCAACAAGTGGTTATAATGAAAGTTAAATAAATGTCTTCCTCTTTCTTTAATAGGTTGTGTGACTGTTGTTAGGATGGTGGTTCTTCCCAAATTACTTTAATCTGTTTAAGAACATTCCTGTCTACTTCTTAAGACTCTAGACTCCATCATTATGCCCTTTGTCTGGGCCAACAAGCCTTCTTGCATCTCTAAGACACACCTACAGAAGCCCACGAATGAACGGGGTCTTTGCCTCTCTGTGTTTTGTCATTATTATTGCTGGGTCTTTGAACAGAGAATCTCACACACTGCGCTCGCTCAGCTTCACAATTTATAAGTAAGATTAACATTTTGGTCCTCCTGAACCTTTATCAACAGTGTTCCACACAATTATTTCCAACACTGAGCTTAAATAGAAACTGCTCCACCCATTTCACAGGTGTGCACAGGTGTGAGGGAATTAATGTGTTTCTCAATAAATGACAACAGCCTGTGCACCATATGTCACATGCTGTAATGGATTTGGGGATCTCAAAAGACCAACTCATGACATTTGAATGACTTATGAAAGTTGTAAGGCCAATCTTTTAAATAGCCTTTATTTTGTGAGGATCTTGAGTGTTTTTACAATGTTTTTTTGTTCCCTTGTTCTCTCTTGTTTGTGGGAAACATGACACATGTTTGATTAGCATTAAGAGAAGCAGCAGCTGAGCAGCTTGAAAAAATAAAATGCCTACTCAATACGACTGCTGTGAAATAACATGATCCTGAAAGAGACAGTTGGTGCTTCTCAGAGTCAAGGAAGGATCTTTAAATGGTTCATCGAATCCTGCCGCAGGACTCTTTCGATGTCAAGGATCCTACAAATACGAGGACGCGGTCCTTTCTTCAGAGAATTTTCAAGGATGCATTATGTATCCTTAGTAGGCATGAAGTACCCACAATACTTTGCAAAAGCTTTGCCAGAATTGAAGGCGGGGCCTCTTCAATGAGCACACCTGGGTACTTGTTAGCCTGCTCTGGTGTATCTTTACTGAATGCTAGGGAGGAGTCGAACCTATCTTCTGTAGGACCTGACTTTGTAGCACCTAGAAACATCCTTGACTTTGAGAAGCAATAATAGCTGTGCATTTTTTCAATTTTTTGGGTGCTTTAAGCAACACAAGCTGAGTGCAATTTAGTTCCATTATATTTGAGAGAAGGCAGACATCTCTTAAATCTCTTATATCTCCAACACTTTGCTACTCACACCAAAATATGCTCGGAAAAATAGGTATTTTGTACGGTGGTGAGAAACGCACTGCAGAAAACAAATGCAAAGGGAAAATGCTGCAAATACAGCCCGTCACTGATCAATAAAGTATCCAACCATATGTGGAGACAAGGTTGAAAATAAACGTTAAATGCAATCAAACCCCTGGGGTGTCCCGGAAAGTAACGTTAGTTACAGTAACGTTAGCTAACATTACTACTACGGATACACTACTCGTGTAGAACTCAAAGTCTCTAGCATGTTAATGTCAGCTGTGTAAATCAGCTTCACTTTCATTATACAGTAAAAGATGAGGGCCACATGTGAAAAACAAGAAAGAAAGAAATATAATAAAGAATACATACCTTTCTGTGTTGCCTGTCCCGACTCCAACTTTCCTCCAAACACATAACTTTCTTCTTCTCGCTCACTCGTCTGTCTCTCGGGTGGAAGCTCAGCACTGCCCCTAGAGGCCTGGAGCACTTCCGTTGTATGAGTGTATATGCAGTGTTTTCTTTTTGCATTTGTTTTCTTATTTGCAGCACGTTTCAGTATTTGCAGCACGTTTCTGTATATGCAGCGTTTTCCCGTTGCATCTGTTTTCTCATATGCAGCGTGTTTCTCTATTTGCATCGCGTTTGTCCTTGTCAGCCACCGTAATTTTTTGATGTGGGGGTGAACATAGACTGTAAATAAAGATATATATACTGTCCCCTCAACCATCAAAACACAATCAACTAATAAATGATTATGTATTATGAAAGATAAAATTACCCAATAGTTACAGTCAGCTCAACCTTTACTTGCTGCAACATTAAAGTAATGCGTAAACATTATAACAATAATTTTATATAACTTTAACTTGTTATATTCATATATATATCCATATCTGTCTCTCTCTCTCTATATATATATATGTATGTATATACATATGTGTGTATGTATATGAACCACACAATAAATCTGCTCCTTTTACCACCTTTTCTTATAAAAAAAGTAACAGGTTTTTAGAATATTATAACAAAAACTATCTGATGTGAAATGAACTGTTTGTTTGTTTGTTTGTTTGTTTGTTTTTGTATTTTTTCTTATGTCCATTCTTACTTTATTCATTCTAACAATTCTCAACATATATGTTTTGATATTTTAATTATTTAACTCTCAGCTTCTGTAGAATGGTACTCATCTTTCATTGCAATTCATGTTTTCAGCTCTCATGTATTGTTGCCTTTTGGTTTTGTACCTGACGTGTTTTGGACATTGTATTGCTCGATAAAGTTTTTTTTAAAACTATGTTGCAAAATACAGTCACATATGTTTTTTTGCTCTTATTTTGAAGGTCAGGCATGTAAACCGGAAGTCTTCTCCTGAGATGATGCTGATTAGAATACAAAAACATTCCGCCCACATAACAGACTGCACTGAGCACTGTTCAGTCACAGCAGCAGAGTTAACTCTGTAAAGTAAACACACTAAGAAATGGAGACATTACACAGTGTCCTGGGCTTTGAGTGGATGGACAGCAGGAGTGTTTTGATATTTCTGTGTGTCTTTCTGTTGTTGTCTCATGTTTTGAAGAACAGAGCGCCACCAAACTTTCCTCCAGGACCGTGGGCTCTTCCTTTCATCGGCGACCTTCTTCGCATGGATCCCAGCAGAATCCACCTGCAGATGGGAGAGGTATGTCAGCTGGAAGAAGTACTCAGATACTTTAACTGAAGAGGTAAAAGTGTTGCTTTCAAAGTTTACTTAAGTACATGTGCAAAAGTGTTGGCATCAAAGTAGTCATTTTGCAGAATGGCTGATTTCACAATGTGATAATATTGGATTATAATTATTGATGCATTAGTGTGTCCATCACTTCAGTGTTGCAGCTGGTGAACACAGAGCTATAAATTCCCTCAGGATCAACAAGGAAGTGTCAGTTATATTAACTGGTGTTTGTGTCATTAATCTGAATCTTGTTAAAAACACCTCAAGTCATTAAAATCCATCAAACAAAAACAGGTAGTCAAGGACAACCATATAACACTACAGAACGACATCAAAACAGACAGTAATACAAAACAAGGACAACACATCTAGTGCAAAACAGAAAATACAAGTGTGACAAATACATTTAGTGCAGTCTAATACAGTGCAACATGATTTTGATGTGTGGTAAAAAGTGAGCCAAAGCAATGCAAAACCATGATTATAGTCATAATTTATGGGAGTGTGGGTATGAGTGACGTTGTAAAGTGCTGCAGTGCTCAGTTAATGATATAAAAAGCTTGAGCCAGCCTTGTAAATGCTTTTTAAAGATGGAAGAGCTGGAGCAATCTCTTATGGAGATTGGCAGGCTATTCCAGATTTTACTACCTCTGACAGATAAGACAGTGAGCTTGCTCTAGTGGAGGCGTTACTGATTGATTTACATTTAAAAAACTGACTCAGAGGTGGAGGTGCATGTCCATCCAAGATCTTATATACAGAACACGCAAGATTGAAGGTAGTAAAATTGTCGAAGCTCAGGATGTTGCAGTGATGATAAGAGAAGGGTTTTTTTTATCAAAGATCTTCAAAGATTTTTTATAAAGAGTTTGACAAGCGACTAATTAAAAAATGTTTCTGAATATTTTTGGTAAAAAAAAAAAAAAAGTCAGTTTGACAGTTTGACCTGAGATTGAAACAGAGAGTCTCTCAGTGTGCTTCTGCACTCTTTGTGTCCGTTATGGCGAGCGTACAAAAATGCAGGAGTGCAATCTGCCCTCAGAGGAAGCAGAAATCTGCTGGTCTGATGGAGGGATACTGACCACAGGTCACACTCTCCACACTGTGATGATACAAAGCTGGTTGAGAATCAGCAGAGTATCCCTTTGATAGCAACTGCACATTGAGTCACTCCTGCATTAGTGTCAACACTCACTGATGTGGTTGCAGGAATAACACTCCCAGCTGGCACCAGACATCAATATGACGTCAGAAAGATGTTGAGCTCTTATGTCAGACAGATGTTAAATTTTGTTTGGAAAGAAAATGGGGTTGACGGTAGGGCCCGACCGATTTATTGCCCGGCCGATTTATTCGGCCGATTATAGCCATTAGAGAATAATCGGCAATGGCCAAAAGTTGACACTTATATTTTCATCACGAATAAAATGCAGGGAATATGGTGTTTTACTTAGAAATGACCTTTTTTGCACTACATATTTTTGATTTATTTTATGTTTGGATTGTTCTTATGCTGCTTGCCCCACATAACAAAATACCTCAATCTTTGGCAGTTACCTTTTTATTGTTTGTTTTCAAATATGTTGTAATTTTTGCACTATAACCTGCCTCTGTTAAATTGGCAATAATAAGAAGAACTCTGGTGCTGTGAACAAACATGTGAATGTCTTAATTCATTTAGACTTTGTATGATTATTTTATTTCCCGGAGGTTTACTGCCTTTTTGCACATGATATTTTTGATTTATTTTGTGTTCAAATTGTTCATATGCTGCTTGTTCCACACAATTTCTGATAATTAAAGTATTTGAAAATAGTAAAATGTTCTTCCTTCAATTTATATCTTTGTAACGAGTGTTTGAATTATATTTAAGCCATCAAAAGCAGGTATTTCGCGTTTTTTAAAATTGAAAAACGTAAAAATTGAATCGGCCGATATATCAGTTATCGGATGTTTTTATTCCATAATATCGGAATTGGCATCGGCCCCAAAAAATCCATATTGGTCGGGCCCTAGTTGACGGTATTTAAATGTTTAACAATGCTAGAATATCACAGTATGTGGACGCTAACATGATGACGCTTTGCAGACGTTGGGTTTTGTTTTATATATATTTTACGACTGAACGTCATTATTCCACGTCAAGATAATGTTGGCATGAGACGTTTGGAAGATGTTGGTTTTTGATTAATTAATGAAACAAATTAAAACCAACAAATATCAGCATCATTTGTCGTCAGTATTCTACGTCAATGAAGTTTGCATTAGATGTTGTCCTGACGTTGAATTTGGTCACCTGACGTCATAACCTAAATTCAACCAAATATGAACTCTAAAGACACTGGCCAGCCGCGTTGTGTTGGGTCCACTTTGCACCTGGTCAGAGGTATTGGAGGGGTCGTTGTTGTCAGACATTTAATAGCCTCGCTATGAGGCAGTGTTGCTGCAATGTTCATGTAGCTGCAGTCGCTTGTTTCAGGATTCAGGTCATTGTACCTCAAAATAACTATAAGGGAGTTTAGCATGGAAGAGGGAACATTTCTGCTGCTATCAACAATGCTAAAGAGGCAACAGTAGTCGAATCCAGATGTTATACATTAACCTGTGACCCAGATGCATGTTTGTGCTGCAGCCCTCTGAAGCTAGACTCTTATTTTTTTGTGTGTCATCCTCAGTGAACCAAAACACCAGTCTGCTCTGTGTGTTCAGTTTGCAGAGAAATATGGAAACATTTTCAGCCTCCAGATCTTTGGTGGAAGAGTTGTAGTCCTATATGGCTACAAGCTTGTGAGAGAGGCCCTGGTCCAAAGAGGAGAGGACTACACAGATCGCCCCTCTGTGCCACTGTTTGAAGCATTAGTTGGGAGAAAAGGTGTGTGTGTTGTGTTGTGTTTAAAAAGTCACAAGTTAGTATTTAGTTAGAGTGGTAGCATCAAACCATTATGGGCATATTAGCATTCAGCTAGCTGTTAGTTCTTCTGGTCTAACGCTGTTTTGTGTTTCCAAAGGTCTGCTGATATCAAACGGCCCTCCATGGAAGGAGCAGAGGAGATTTGCTCTTCGTACACTCAAAAACTTCGGTTTGGGCAAGAAGACGCTGGAGACATCCATCCAGCAGGAGTGCCATTATCTCATTGAGGCTTTTGCCCTTCAGCAAGGCACTGAACACATTTCACTTTTCAACAAGCAACAGCTAATTAGTAATAATGTGTCTTATAGTGCATGTGATCTCTCGTCAATTTTGCCCCACTTTTGAAACAGAACAAACACTGTGGAGCACTGGACCGTGCACCTTAGACCATGTGACTCTCTGTTTCCCTGCTTCACTGATCATCCATAGTCATTACATAAAGTACTTTTCTTCTGCCTGTGGCTCATTGTGCATTTTATGTTTTGACTTTCCTGCGTTTCTTGTCTACATTTTGTCTTTATTTTACAGGGAAGCCGTTTAACGCCCAGACACTGATAAACAACGCTGTGTCCAACATCATCTGCTGCCTGGTGTTTGGAGAACGCTTTGAGTACACTGACAAGCAGCACCAGAATATTCTTCAGATCTTCAATGAGCTATTGTACTTACAGGGAAGCGTGTGGGCACAGGTGAGCCTCCTTTGTAAACAAGATGCTGTGATCTTTGTAAAATCAGGTCTGATCCTGTAAGTCATTAGTGTACTTTAATAACTATTTTGTAAAAATGTTCCAGAAAGACATAAATACCATTGATATGAACTTAAGTAGACAAACACAAAAAGGAATTAACTGAGAAGCTGTGATAAAAATTTGCGTAGTCAGTTTGTGTAGTCAGATACTCTACAAGTATCAATACGATAACGTATTACTACTGCAATACTTAAAATACTCCATTACAAGTTAAAGTCTTGAATTTAAGCTGAAGTAAAGTAGAAAAGTATTATCAGCAAAATTTACTAAAAGTATCTAAAGTATAAATAATTCAACAAAATGTCCCTGTGATTGATATATCCTTTTATATCATTATTAGATTGTGACTGCATTAATGTGTAAGAAGCATTTACTGTTGTAGCTGGAGCTAGTTTTAACTCCTTTACTTGGCTCATTAGAGCTACAGTCACTAACCTTTATAGATAATTTTTTGTCTTATTTGCTGAAACTGTCAGTGTGTCCACACAGAAGCACATCACACAGATAATCATCATGTTTCTCCTCCTTATAGTGCTTCTAATGGCATTTGCTAGAATCTACCGTAGCTCATGGAAAACACTCAAATCAAAGCCGAGGAGTCTCTAACACAGCTGTCAGTCATGTCAGTCACTGCTCCTGAGCTGCAGCCAAACTGTCAAACCAGGCGGCGCTGATCAAATACGAACCAAGATTCTGTTGCTGCGTTGCCTGTTGTTGTCTCAGATGTTTGTTTCGTCTGATGGGTGGTGCTGAGTCTTTGGGTTGACTGTTTTTCAACGTGGTGGTCGGGGCGCAAACTTTCTCATTTTACAGCTAAACAGTGCACTAAGATCGGAAGATTGGCGGCTTGATCCATGGCTACTCCAGCCCACATGTCGACGTATCCTTGAGCAAGACACTGAACCCCAAATTGCTCCTGATGGCCGTTTGATCAGTGTGTGAGAGCATGTGAATGGTGACTGAGTAGCAGGTGGCACTGTGTATGGTAGCGTCAGCCACCAGTGTGTGTGAATGGGTGAATGTGACATGTAGGTTAAAAAAACGTTTCGAGTGGTCGGAAGACTAGGAAAGCGCTATAAGTACAGTCCATTTATGAAAGCAATGAAAGCACTTTTCTGTTCTGAGTTGAAGTTTTTCCAACTCAAGGAGTTCAGAGCATTTTGACAAAAACAACAAGCAAAAAACTTAAATCTCAGTAAAAACAACTAGTCCATACCTATTATGTACAGCATACCATACCATGACTTAGGCATACCAAACATTAGAAACAACACCAACATTGGTCCACAGGGGGAGCCACAGCGATCGGTCGCATTTTAGCCATTTTGAAGCATTTTTCTGTTGTTATAGCGCCACCCAGTTGCCAATTAGAGTTAAATTTCTCCAGTCACCTTGAGGCGTCCTGTTCTACATATCTACCAAGTTTAGTAAAAATCCATATGGCGGTTAGGCCTAGATAAGAAATGAGCTCTCTAGCGCCCCCATTTTGTTTGATGGGGTCAATAATGGAGGGGTCCCCTCAGATTATGTGTGGTCATATGCCTACAAAGTTGCGTGGTGATGGGTGAAACCCTTGAGATGTTATACACCTTTATGTGATGAGCCACGCCCTCCGCAATATTCATTGCCTTATAGAAGCTCAGTTTTAGTAAGTTTTCCAACTTTTGCCAAGAGGGAACTTTAGATATTGGTCCCTAGATTATGTTCACCCAGTTTCATGCAGATCGCTCAAACTTCCTAGGAAGAGATCCATTTGAAGTGTTTTTCAAAAAATTCAAAATGGCGGAAAATCTATATAAGCGCAAGTTATGGGTTCTTGAGGCAAATGTGTTCCTCATGAGGAGAGGCATCTCTGTGCAAAGTTTCATGTCTCTACAACATACGGGGCATGAGATATGCCCATTCAAAGTTTGACATTTCAATGGGTTGCTATAGCGCCCCCCTTTGGCCAATTGATGTAATATTGCTTCATTGGCATCCTCCCATGACCCTCTACCACTGTGCCAAATTTCACATGGATTGACCAAGTCAGTGAGGAGAAAAACGTGGAACAGACACACACACACACACAGTTTTTGTCATTATACAGTAAAGATTACAAAAAGCCACCTCCAGCTGGTAAAATGCTTTCTGTGTGAACACTGAGACATTTATAACTGCTAACAACTCAAACACACCAAAAAGTGACATTGGGCTCCAACTAGACAGCTGTCATATGAATACAGTGGACTACAGTATTTCACTCTGAAATGTAATAGAAGGATAAAGTAGAACAGATTTTAAATATTCAAGTAAAGTGCAAGTACCCCAAAAAGTACACTACATTAGTAAATGTACTCAGTTACTCTCCACCACTGTGTGTAGCAACCAAAGCATACTTAAGAACAGTACGTTCTGCAGAATATGCACCAACTGGCAATTTTGTTGACTGACAGCAGGTGGTGATATTGTGATGTAGACATCCAAACTCAGCAGGTCATAGATAGTAAATGAGATGTATATGTTGACTTGTCACTGCAGACATTTTGACTTGTCACATTAGGAAAAGCAAAACTGTCACTAACAACATTAACACTGACTCTGTTGAACTTCAGTGTCCCATGACAGTGTGACAGTGAGCCACCATGCACAATACCAGGACCCTGAAACTGAAGCAGCTAAATGGTATTCGGACATCAGCCATCCATCCATCCATCCATCCATCCATCCATCCATCCATTTTCATCTGCTTATCAGGGGCCGGGTCAGAGGGGCAGCAGGCTGAGCAAAGCACCCCAGACGTCCCTCTTTCGAGCAACACTCTCCAGCTTCTCCTGAGGGATCCCAAGGTGTTCCCAGGCCAGATGAGATATATAATCCCTCCAGCGTGTTCTGGGTCTGCCCCGGGGCGTCCTACCGGTGGGACGTGCCCAGAACACCTCTAACAGGAGGCGCCCAGGAGGATCCTGATCAGATGCTGAACCACCTCAACTGACCCCATTCGATGCGAAGGAGCAGCGGCTCTACTCCAAGCTCCCTTCGGATGTCTGACTCCTCCCCCTATCTCTAAGGCTGAACCCAGACACCCCACGGAGGAAACTCATTTCAGCTGCTTGCACCTGTGATCTCATTTTTTCGGTCACTACCCAGAGCTCATGACCATAGGTGAGGGTTGGGACGTAGATGGACCAGTAAATCGAAAACTTTAAATTCTGGCTCAGCTCCTTCTTTACGATGATGGTCCTGCGCAGCGCCCACATCACTGCAGAAGCTGCACCAGACCACCAGTCACATGCTCCACTCTACCCTGACTCATGAACAAGACCCTGAGATACTTGAACTCCCTTGCTTGATGCAATAACTCTCTCCCAACCCAGAGGAGGCAATCCACTGGTTTCTGGCAAAGAACCTTTCCTCAGACTTGGGAGGGGCTGAATTCCTCATCCAGACTGCTTCCCACTCGGCAGAGCCTGCTGGAGGTCACGGTGTGATAAAGCCAACAGAACCATATCATCTGCAAAAAGCAGAGACGCAGTTGTGAGGTTCCCAAACCAAACACCTTCCTCCTCCTAGCTGCCCTTCGAGACATCATTGATTTTACTATTCACACCTGTGCTTTTCTGACTGTGACATGTCAAAATATTTCCTGTGAAAAACGTCCTATTGCTGTAAAAGTGCAGGTGTATATAGTGACATAAGTGGTAAATAATATCCTCTATCACAGTGCGTGTAATTTTATATTGCAGTATTGATTCATTGTGATTTATGGGTAGTGTTTATTGACAAATTTGATATTGGCAAATTAGTTTAGCCTCCACTTGTGTCTGTTGCCTGTTTGCTGATGATCTGGTCTTCATGCTCTGTAGATTTATAACGAAATACCCTGGCTGATGAAGTGGCTGCCTGGACCTCACAGGAGGATATTCACTCTGACACAATATATTATTGACTATGTACAAGCCAAGGTCAATGAACACAGAGGGAGCTTTGACCCGTCCTCACCAAGAGACTACATCGACTGCTTCCTCACTGAGATGGAAGAGGTGAGTGTTTTTATGTCTCCGCTTTTATGTCTAGAATTATGATTTTGGGTTGTCTGTACGTCCATACATCCCAGTCTTGTGAACACCCTGAGGGAATCTCTTCAAATTTGGCACAAACATCCACTCAGACCCAACAATGAACTAATTAGATTATAGTGGTCAAAGGTCAGGGTCATTATGTCTTTGCATCCGTCTCATTCTCGTGAATGTGATATCTCAAGAGCGCCTCTTGGACTTAACAATGAACTGATTAGATTTTGGTGGTCCAAGGACATGGCCACTATGACTTTGTCCTTCTCATTCTCATGAACATGACATCTTAAGAACACCTTTAGGGATTTTCTTCACATTTGCCACAAACATCCTCTTGGACTTAACAATGAATTGATTAGATTTTGGTGGTTAAAGGTCAGGGTCATTATGACCTTGCGCCCATCTTATTCTCATGAAGTGATATCTCAAGAACACCTTGAGGGGCTTTCTTCAACTTTGGCACAAATGTCCACTTGAACTTAACGATGAACTGATTCGATTTTGGTGGTTAAAGGTCAAGGGTACCGTGACCTTGCGCCTGTCTCATTCTCATGAACATGATATATCAAAAATGCCTCGAGAGCTTTTCTTCGACTTTGGCACAAACGTCCACTGGTAGTCAAAAGACAAGGCCACTGTGACCCTGTCCATCGCGTTCTCATGAACGTGATATCTCAAGAACGCCTTGGGGGATTTTCTTCAACTTTGACACAAACATTCATTTGGACTTAACAATGAACTAGTTAGATTTTGGTGGTCAAAAGACAAGGTCACTATGACCTTGCGTCTGTCTCATTCTCATGAACATGATATCTCAAGAGCACCTTGACGGATTTCTTCAAATTCGGCACAAATGTCCACTTGGACTTAAAGATTCGATTTTGGTGGTCATTGGTCGCTGTGACCTCACACAACATGTCATCTGTTATAACTCAAGAATTAATTAGCTAATTATGACAAAATGTCACATAAATGTCTAATTGGATAAAATGATGACATGACGAAATCACAAAAACTCTTCTGGCCTGTATTCAGCGTCATATCTTAGGAACAGATGGCACAGGTACAGATATTTGATCAGATATTGAACTGGTATCACTTATCTTGGGTGCCCTTCTTGAAACTGTGTTGATTGTACAGAACCTCTGTTCTGCAGGGTTGAAGATGTCTGGGAAGCATCCAAGTTTTAAATTATGTATCGTTTTTGCAGCAATGTCCATATTTGAAGCATTGACATAACTTGACTTGTTCGCAGAGGCATGTCTCTGTGTTGTGTTTGCTCTCTTTGCATCTGCTGATGAAACATGTCAACCGACACTACAAACTGTCCTTTGTGTTATTGACAGATGAAGGACAAAGATTCTGGTTTTGATTTAGAGAATTTGAGTATTTGCACACTGGACCTGTTTGGTGCTGGAACTGAAACCACAACCACGACTTTACACTGGGGACTGCTGTACATGATCTACTACCCTCACATACAAGGTGTGTGTGTGAGTAATATCTGTCCCATTTCATTTCTGTATGGTTTGTAAGTTTCTTGACGTGACAAGTATCAGAGGTCCCTCACAGGTCAGGCCTATATTAGAAGAGTAAGTGTGTGGGATGTGTTATGCATAAATTTCCCCTCAGTCGTCCACGCAGAACACAGCCTCACTCTGTTTCCTGTTGTCACTGTGTGCAGAGAGAGTCCAGGCTGAGATAGATACTGTCGTTGGTTCATCCAAACAGCCCTCGATGACTGACAGAGAAAACATGCCCTATACTGATGCCGTCATCCATGAGATCCAGAGGATGGCCGACATTCTTCCCCTCAATGTGATCCGCATGACAAGCAAGGACACCACACTGGACAAGTACACACTGCCAAAGGTACATGATGCACATGTGATTGCTTTACAGCAGTGGTTCCACAGGGTCCAGATTTCTCCTCAGTCACTAGTTCAAGGTTTGCACAGTTTAATATATTCAGCATCATATTTACGTTGAGTAGCTGTTTGGTTGTCCCTAGTCTGAGTGGGCAGAAGTTCGCTGCATAGATCAGCCTCTCATTGGGCGGAACGAGCCACCCGCTGAAGTCCCGCCCTACCACCTCCGGTTGTGTAGCAGGTTTCAACACGTCCTTTACTAACGTTTGCGGTGTTAGATCTTGCAGGGATGTAGCCATTTTTCTGCCATGGTTCACATCCTGTAGGTGATATTTTTGTGGGCGTGTTACACCAAAACCTGTTTCCCCCCGGCAATATTTTTGCAAGCGCACCGTTGCTGTGGCACCGCCCAGAACGACTGTGATTGGTTGAAAGAAATAAAAAAAGCCGGGGTATTTTTTTCTCCAATCTTAAAGTGATAGTCGGCGCAGCCAGACCTTTCTTTTCTTGAGAAAGGTCTGGTGAGCGAGACTAGGCTGTCCCTCACCCTACAGAAGGAAACAGCACTTCAAAATAAAAGGTCTGTGCTGGAAATTCACTATACTTCAAAGTTTTTTACAAACTTGACACATTTGTGAGTCAGTTGTGGTCCATTCAAAATGGACCCACAACCCACCAATTGGGAACTAGTGGTTTACAGTATGTAAGCATATAACATTTAGCGTTTTATTTAGGGATGCACCCATGGATGGATTACTGAGCAGAGGAGCCCCTCCGGCCTTCACCTGCAAAATGTTCCCTAATTGAACAGGTGCTGATAAGGAAAAGACACAAAAAGACCTCAAAGAGACACAAAGGAACGGCAAAATGGGAAAAACAATTTTCAACAATTTTCTCCTCCTGCTGATTTCAACACAAATTTGTTGTTCACAGTGTAGAAGTATCAGTGAAACAAGGTGTACCCTCTGATGCATCAATAGGTAGTTTTTCTTTTCATCTTAAAGGCATCCCAGAGGAGGTTTCTGTTCATCCAAGACACATTTTCTATTGTCCCCAGTACGCCGTTAGTTTTGAGCCTTGCTTTTTATCCTGTGCCACATTGATGTGACACAGCAGAAAAACATTGGCCACTGCCATCAGTGAATATCATCTTATTTGTTGATAGACTGATGGCAGTCAACAAGATGAATATTGGCAGATCCCAAAGTTCAGCTGATAAACTGGTGCATCCCTCCCTGGCATTTGTGTGAAAATGCAGCAGCAGAGTAATGCAACATAACCCAAAGTAATGTAACTAATTATTTTCCACACAAATTAATCAAATAAATAAAGTAATAAGTTTCTTGTTTTATGACCCCAAAACTAATTAAAACAAACTCACCAGAAGAAAGACTTCTGTTAACTGTTTTCATTCTTGGCATTTTCTCAGGGCACCCCTGTCCTGCCCACGCTGATCTCGGTTCTACGTGATGAGACGATGTGGGAAACTCCACACTCCTTCAACCCTCAACATTTTCTGGACCAGGACGGCAAATTTAGGAAGAGAGAGGCCTTCCTCCCCTTTTCAGCAGGTCAGTCAGTAGTCTCTAAAACTGAGTTATATGTTATTTAACAGTTTCCTGTACATAAGAGGGAATCAGGTTTCAAGTCTTACTGTGTTCTGTGGTTGTTTCAGACTCTGAGCTGCAGCATTATCATGTGGTCAAAGTGGAAATAGTGTGTATATAACTCATCTGTTGTGTATAGTCAGGTAAGCGTGTGTGTCTCGGGGAGCAGCTGGCCAGGATGGAGTTATTCCTCTTCTTCACCTCCCTCCTTCAGAGGTTTTCTTTCTCAGCACCTGCTGGAGAGCAGCCCAGTCTGGATTACAAGTTAGGAGCCACTCTGTGTCCCAAACCTTACCGCCTCTGTGCCGTACCACGATAAACCACCGCCTGCCCCAAACTGAACCATCACCAACACAAAGAGTCCCTCTGTCTAACTACAGTTATCTTATAATGCATAAAAAAGTGGTTATAATGAAAGTTAAATGGAAACGTCTTCCTCTTTCTTTAATAGGTTGTGTGACTGTTGTTAGGATGGTGGTTCTTCCTAAATATATTTACCTGTTTTAGAACATTCCTGTCTACTTCTTAAGACTCTAGACTCCACCATTATGCCCTTTGTCTGGGCCAGCAAGCCTTCTTGCATCTCTAAGACACACCTACAGAAACCCTCGGCCTGCTTCAAACTGAACCATCACCAACACAGTGTTTGTTCCACTGCATGTATCTTGTGATGCATCAAAGATATCTGCTGTATTGTTATTTTACTACAGTGACAGGGCTCAACACTAAAACTAAATAACTTTTAAAAGTGGCTGCCATTTTTAACTCCCCTTTAGTTATCCATCATGCAGTTATACTGTACGTCAGCTTAATAATGAAAATGTGACATAAAATAATGTTTAATGTTTTATCACATGAACTGAACAAAATTCTTTTTAGTTTGTGTTTTGACACTTTATAGAATTTGAATCTCATCAGTTAACGTGTCGTCTCGTCAGTGGGAGTGCCAGCTCCCCCTCACTATATCGTCGAGCTCCAGTGGTTGTCTAGCCCAGTGGTTCCCAGCCGGTCCAGCCACTGGGTCCAGATTTCTCCTCAGTCATTAGTTCAAGGTCCACACAGTTTAATATATTCAGCGTCATACTTGCCTTTGGCCATGTTGTCAAGTTAGTGTGCTGTCTGCGTCAAGTAGCTGTCTGTTAGTCACTCACTCTAGAGCAGGAAATGGCACTTCAAAATAAAAGCTCTGGCCCAGAAATTCACTGTACTTCAAAATAAAGTGTGTTCTTTACAAACCTGATACATTTGCGAGTCACCTGCGGTCCATTCAGAATGGACCCACAACCCACTTTAGGACCGCGACCCACCAGTTGGGAACCACTGGTCTAGCTTCATGGTTCTGTAGGATTTTCAACCTTAAACTAGTGAACTTAACGTGTCACTTATCAAGGTGTAAGGTGTACATGCTTTGCAGTATAACTTTACGTCGAGTGTAAAGATGCCAGGACATGTCACCTCACAAGACTTTCACAGAGTTGCCTTCTGTTTTTCAGTCAGGTTCATCTGTTTATTTGTTGTGTCAATTGACAAGTTAGTCAAGCTTTTCATGCAACTTAATTTGCTTTACCATTGCCTCTTAATCAGAAGCCTATGAGCATGAGTTAACACACCATTGCACATGCAGCGCTGCCTGGTTCTGACTAGAGCAGCAGGATTTAAAGGGACAGTTCACCCGAGAATAAAAAACATATTTTCCCTCTTATCTGTTACTGATCAGTCTTTATTGTTTTGGTGTGAGTTGCTGAGTGTTGGAGATATCAGAGACGTCTGCCTTCTCTTGTACATAATAGCACTAGATGACACTCGGATTGTGGCGCTCAAAGCACCAAAAAACTACATTTAAATCAGGAGAGACTTTTTCTGAGAGATGATTTACATTTACAAAAAGTATGAGTAATGTGAAAAGCAATTTGACCCCATTGTGATGTCATTTATTCCAGGAGGGTGGTAAAGACATAGTAGATTAGGGAGTCTAGTTGCTGGTGGTGATGAGTTGAGGTGAGGTGAGGACGGAGCTGAGGATCTGGATGTGAAGAGGAGTGGGCTTTTAATGAGCTTGTCCTGGGCTCTGGATGAGGTGGCTGGAGGTGAATGGGGTGCGATGATTCCCCTAAAATGACAGCTGAGAGGAGAAAGGATTTAAAGTTTGGCAGCAGCAACATGAATGGCTGAAGGAGATCATGGCAAAGTTAGATTGGCTAACTGGGAAAGGGAACACCCAGAGTGGAAGTGGGATAGAGAGAGAATCCTGAATAAGTGTGGCATAAAGAATGTCTTCCTGATTGAACTTAGGCTGAGCTTCATTTGAGAAACTCAACAGCAATGTCTCTTTCCAGAAATCATGACCCAAATATTCAAGATAATCCACAGACCTTGTTGTGAGCAGTTTCATGTAGGAACTATTTTCTATCTATCAAACTGTAGTGCTGTATGAAACTGCTCACAACAAGGTCTGTGGATTATCTTGAATATTTGGGTCATGATTTCTGGAAAGAGACATTGCTGTTGAGTTTCTGAAAGACATTTTTTTGGGGCAGATTGAACACTGCAGGCCAATCTAGTTCTATATATTGGAGAGAAGGCAGACATCTCTACAGCCAATATCTCCAGCACTCAGCAACTAACAAGACTGCACTACAGGTAAAATGTTGGGGTGAACTGTCTCTTTAAATATAACTAATGCAGCAAATATTAAAATAGACTTATAAGACTTTATTAATCCCACACTGGGGAAATCAGAAGAAAAGAATAAAGGGAAGAGAACAAAGGAAAAAATGAGTAAAGTGCTAAATAGGATAAAAATATGCTAAAATACAAATAAGATCAAATAAAGATAAATTAATATAAAATCTGTCTTCACCTTTCACTCATACAGATATTATATGTCCATGACTGATAGTTGCACAGGATATATACTGCATCACACACGCTGTGTCGTATTTCTTCACTGTCAATATATAGAAATATATAACTGTTGTTGCATACGTAACTCTAGATGTTACCAGTGTATTGAACTGAAATATACAAAAGCATCCTTTCCAGTTGTTTTTGTCTTCAATCACTGCACGCTGGATTTGTCTGATTTGCTTTAATTTCACGTGAGTAAATAAAAAAATCCAGAGATTTAGCTTGTGTTTCTCGTTCAGACGGCTGTGTGTTCATGTTCACACTGTGGTTTCAGTCTGAGGTTTTCAGGTGAGAAAAACACTCGAAGTAGAGCCAACAGCATACAGTCAGTGTCAGTGCTGCTTACCAACCTGAGCACGTGTGATATCTGCTGTTATTATAAATGAAGTCTACAGTGAACTGGATGTTTCAGTCAGATTCTGTGGAGTCTGAAGTTTGTGTGACAGAAAATCTTAATAAACAGTTTCACCTATATTTGGTGTCTTCAGCATGAAGCACTTCACAAATGAAAAGCAGCACTTTGAGCTGTTTTTCTTGAACTGAACCTTAACCTTTTGAATGTCAAATCTTAAAATGAGCTAATTTCATGCTTGAGGTCTCTTTTATCTTCACATGAATACACACCTTGTTTCACTTCTGGGTTTTCCCTGTAAAGCTTTTGAAGTTAGAAGCGGAAAATAACCAGTGAAAGGAAATCATAAAAAGCTTGAAAAAGCCTCCGTCTCTGCTGATTTTTCCTCAAACACAGTCGACACAGGGACTATGAACATCAGCAACCAGCCAAATGAGAAGAGACCTCTTTCACACTGACAGTGTAAGTTTGTTTTATAAACTTTAAAGACAGATCATGTGCATTTACTGTCAGTTTAGAGACAGCAGTGAATGTAATATGGATCAACTGTGTTTGCCTTGTTGTTCATCAGCACATTTTAAGTTACTGTAAAAGCTCTTTGAAGTGTCGGACTTGTGGAAACAAAATAATGAGGTTGCTGTGAAGCTACGGTCAGCATCTTTTTCAAAGTTAAAAACTGATGTCACGCAGCATGTTACATGTCAGGTTGATCACTTGATTATCTGCTAACTGCAGCACGTTTAATGGGAGCAGCTTCTCAGCACACTGACATTTAAAGACTTTGTGGTGATGAAAAACAGGCAACTTAAGTAGGGCACTGAAGTACTGACTCTAACGTTCAAAGTTTATGCATTTACCCAGATACCACCAAACTAGGTCACTGGCCTCCTTAAGATGTTTCATTCTTACAGCAGAGATCATTCTAATCAGATGCGTCTCACAAGGCAAGCCATCTGAGGAAGATGTTACGATGAAGAGAAATGTGTCCTGATAAGAAAACCTTAAAGCCATTAAGAAGAAAAGCAGACGGCATGAAATTCTGGTGAGTTTTATTTTGGCATGTCTTTTAACGTCACTTGGTTTGTGCGGACAGTTTAGAAAACATGTAATCTACTTTCAAGATGTCTTATAAAATCAAATGTTCAGATTGTGACGCAGTGCGTGTTAGTTAATCTCTGTGAATTAACAAGAAAACGCAGTGACAGAAATATCTCTTATCTGCCACAGTGCATGTGTGACAGAGCCATGACTGGAGCTGCCTGTACTTCTGTAAATGTTTATCAGACACAAACTTCTACTTAAAAAGATGAGAAGTTCAACTAAACACTGTGCGTCTTCCTCATGGTAGACAGAACATCTCCTGTCGGCAGATGGCTGAGGTACGTTTTGAGGATCACCTCATTAAATGTGCGGAAATTCCCGTGAAAATTTGGTCATTAATGATTAGAATAATTTTTGTTCACAGCTGCTGAGTCATCCTGAGTGGGTTCTAAGACATTAAGAAAGATGAGCTGAGATGAATCTCCCCTCACACCCCTGGAGATTCGTTATTATACTCCTCTGTTTTTCCATTGAGCGTGAGTATTATAGTATCTATCAATCTGCATTATTACTGTCAGCCTGTTTGTCTCAGTTCAGTCCCTGAAAACTCTTACAATTTGGTAGCATCTGTGGTTTCAATTTCTGAACCATGCCTCTGCAGCTGTGACCACAGCACTGTTGTTAAAAGTGTTTTTTTGTACAACAGTCAAACGAACATTTAAGGTGAGACATCTCAGGTGAAAACATATTTGTAATGTACTGGTCAGTTTTGAGATTTTGGGCTATTTTGCCTTTATAACATGTCGTCTTTCAGACTAGTGGCAAGAAGAAGAAGATGGTATCAAAAGTATCCTTATTAAAGAGACCATTGATTATTTAATCCAACCCCTTACTCACATTTTTTCATTATCTCTTCAATCTGGAATTGTCCCTCAGGACTCAGGAAAACTGCTAAAGTTGTTCTAATATTCAAATCAGGTGAAATCTATCTTGCCTTGCACCTCAAAGATCTTGGAAAAGCTGATCTATTCTAGGATATCTAAGCACTTAGAACTCAACATATTATACAAACATCAATATGGTTTTCAAAAAAAATATTCTACTGAATATGCACTCCTACAGCTTGTTAATCATATTTCTACTGCTCTTGACGAGAGGAAATTTGCGCGGGTTTTCTTAGATTTGAGTAAAGCTTTTGATACGGTCAATTATGACATCCTCATCTCCAAACTTAACAGATATGGTGTGGAAGGAACTGCCCTGAAATGGTTTAGAAATGATCTCTCTAATAGAGAACAATATGTGTACTTAAATGGTTATTCATCAAAGAAATTGAAAATTTTGCTTGGTGTTCCCCAGGGTTCAATTTTGGGTCCTTTATTATTTTTAATTTATATTAATGATATCGCTATGTCATGCAAAAATTTTCTTCCTATTTTGTTCGCGGACGACACCAATCTAATAGCCACTCATGAGGATTTTCCTACCCTGATTGAATGTGTTCATGAGGAACTATCTTCTGTTGCTCATTGGTTTCAACTTAACAAGCTAACTCTTAATATGATTAACGGAGTTGAAATTCTACAAGTTCAGTCTACCAAATTCTTAGTAGTTATGTTAGATGTACGGTTAAATTGGTCTACTCATACTGATCTTGTATGCAAAAGATCTATGAAGATGCTAGGTATATTGAGAAAGGTTTGTCCAGTAATTCACTCCTCAGCTCAATTAACCCCATACTATAGCTTTTTGTTCCCCTATATAAATTATTGTAATATTGTTTGGGCAGCTACTTAACCCACTTATCTTAAAAAATTATTTATAATTCAGAAGAGGTTTTTGAGATTGATCTCCCATTCGAGTCGATATGCACCTTCTGCACCTCTCTTCAGTAAATACCAACTGTTATCTATTGATAAAGTGAACGTCTTTCAAACATGTCTATTCTTACATAAGTTCATTTATAGGAAACAAGATCTTCCAGTCACCTTTAATAACTTTTTTATTTCTACATACCAAACAAGGCTTTGTAATAGCAGTCTCTTCTTACCGTTCTCCCGAACATCAAGTCACCAGTTCAACATCTATTTTAGAGGTCCCAAGCTATGGAATGAATTAAGTTTATCACTGAGGTCCATGTCTTCTCATTTTCTTTTCAAAAAGCATCTGAAGGCACTTTTAGTGTCCACATGAACTCTTAAAGCATCTACCTTAATCCTCCTTATCAGTTTTTCTCTCTGTCTGATCTCTTGTTTCTTCTTCTTTGTCCTAATTTGCTTCAATTACCCTAGTTTTGCTCCTTTTTTGTTGTTTATGTTTCTTGTTGTTGTTATTGTTGTTATTTTGTTTTGTGACTCTTTGCTTAGTCTAGGAATTTAGCCTGCATGTCATTTGCTTGTGATTATGGCTAGGGGTGGAACAAGCCTGCATGGGCTTCGTTCCCCCCTTGCACAGTTGTCTAATTCAATTGTGCTAAATAAATAAATAAAATAAGATGTCATAAATACATATTCAGATTTTCATTCTAGTTCAGATTTCTCTTGTGGAAATGCATGCAAAAAACACAAATTTAATTAGATAATGCCTCATTTGCACATTTAAAAATAAAATTGCAGAACACTTAATAGAAAAAATAATTGTTTCGCTGTGGGTAAAGAACTGGGAAGGTTTCATGGTGATAACTTGTAGATATTTTTTACCCTATTCACCTGTAGTGTCTTATTTCTGATCTAAAAATATGTAAGAAATTTAATAGTAAATATTGTCAAAGGCCATTTTCTCAAAATTATTTGTTTCTTATAATCTGAGCCAATGCAGGACAAGAATTCCACACACTTAGATCTATGAAATGTTTAGCTTTGTCTCAGAATAAATTGAAATACTGCATAGATGTAAGTGTGCAGAAATCTTATGATTATTATGGCTCAGCAGCACTTACAGACATCAAACTTTCCAGCTTTATTCCTGACTATATAAGAGATTTCTTTTTATAGAGATTTATATACATTTTTAGATAATGAAAGATTTTTACAGAGGGGTTTGTTCATATATAATTCATAGCATGATTCATATAACACATTTTATTCCTAAAGAAAAGACTTTTAATGGCTGTTGACATTATATCTGATTTATTTAGTGATAAAAAGAGATATCCAAAATTCTGTCTGTGAAAGTATCAACTCTTTTGTGTCAGCGAGATGAAACAAGAATTTAAAACCTGGTTCTATGTTTCTGTTCAGGAAATGTTCAGGAAACGTTTGCAAATAAGTACATATCTAATATGATAATGTCTCATTTGCATATTTAAACTTAATTTTCTTAAAATTTGTGAGCAATGTGAGCAACTAACAGGGATGTTTCATGGTGATATCTCGTAGTTAAAATGTTTACCCTATTCACCTGTAGTGTCTACAAAAATATATGAAATTTTACAGTAAATATCTCTTAAGGCCATTTTCTCAAAATTATTTTCTCTTTTAATCTCAGCCAATGCAGGACAACTACATATCCACATGGCTCAGTCTTGGCAAGGTGCTGAAAACTGACCCCAAACTTGTGGAATACATTTCCGCACACTTACATCCATATTGTGTTTAACTTTGTCTCAGAGTAAGTTGAAATACTGCATAGATGTAAGTGTGCAGAAATCGGTAACACTTTACTTGAAGGTATCTACATAAGGGTGACATGACACTGTCATGAACTTGTCATAAACATTATGTACATGTCATAAACGTTTATGACTGCTGTCATTAAGTGTCATTAGGTTTTTGTAATGACAAGTTGACATTGTTTGGGTTGTCTTGTTTATGACAACTTGACATTAATTAAAGTGACATTACCAGAAGATGTCTTTGTCAGGACAAGTTGACATTAACAAAAAAAATGCACCTCTTTTTGTGTTTATGACAAGTTGACATAATGATTATTATAATTACATGTCCAAGGTTACAGACCGATTCTAACACTCGGTCAGATAGATGTCTGGCAGGATACAACACAAAACTGGCTGTCATGATAGCCAGTCTTATCCTGATATCCTCATGACAGCCAGTTTTGTGTTGTATCCTGCCAGACATCTATCTGACCGTGTGCACCGTGTGCCAGGCGGCAGGCAGGGCCAGGGACCCAGGTGTGCTGACAGACTTTTTTTTTACCAAATGTAAACATGCACTTAAAGGGATAGTGCACCCAAAAAATGAAAATGCAGCCATTATCTACTCACCCATATGCCGAGGGAGGCTCAGGTTCAGTTTTAGACTCCTCCTAATGGAGGCTGACTCTGTTTTCAGCTGGTCTTGCGCAAGCGCACACACGTGAGCGCGGTACACAGAGAGGCCTTTTTCTTGTCCCAAACTTTCTTGGCATGTGTCACTGCCAGAAAAGGGGCTTAACAATAAAATCGTAAGAGAGGGGGAACTCACAGAATCACATCCTGGATATAAACATGTTCACTGTGCGGCAGGTATACAAATGTACCATCTATTAATTACTTTCAAATCAAACATGATTCCATACATTTTTTTTTCTGGACAGGTTTCCCTCTGCTCCCTGCTGGCTGCCAGCATTTAAACGTCCATGGCCACGTGACAGTTGAACCAGCTCCGCCCTTCCTGTTGGGCTCAAACCTGACCGTGTACTGCCACGTCACAGACATCGTATCATGTCACCGGAGGTAGGGATATCATAAAATATAGTATGCCTGTGAGACGAAATCTATGCTTAATTTTTGTTGACGAGACGTGACGATGTTCGTGGTCGACTATAAGACATATTGACAGTCAAGAACGGTCGTGCTTGTAATGATCTTCAGATGCCTGATGAGCGACAGGCTGGTAAACTCCAGTAAATAGTCTGCACCAGGATGTTTGGGTTGGTGCGAGTTGTGAGCTGTAATTCAGCAGTAAATAATCAGCCGTGTGTGTCTGACTGTGGATGGTGGAGCTGCTGAATGGATTTGTGGAGTTTGTTAGTTGCAGCGGTGGCTGTTAGCAGCTAGCTCCACTCGCAGCCTTCACAGCTTCACCCCGCAGGACTCCACTCAGTCCGGACTGGAGAAGGTTTGTGGGTTGATGGTGTTTGACAGGCAGGTAGGAGGCTCAGTTATCTGTGAGTGTAGCTGTGATGTAAGTAAACAGTCTGAACTCAGATCAGTTTTCTCTGACAGAGATGAAAGTTTAGTTTGAATCACCAACTCTGTGAGAGGACACCAGTTTAAACCTCCAGACTAACATGTTGCACATGAAGAAACAAGTTATGTTTCTGCTTCTTAACAGTCACATGGATAAGTCAGAGTTTACAATGAACCTGGGGACAAATCCTAGTTGGCTCACATTAGTTATTTGTTGAGAGCATAAATAGAGACATGTTGAGCTTTTCAAATGAAGATCAGTAAGTGTGTGCTCGTAAATCAGCCCTTAAACCTGTCACACACTGCTGGAGACATGACACACACATTATCTTATACAACATGTCACCTTGAGTCTGATTTATGATCCATGAATCAGCCTCACTGGATTAGTTTAACACACAGAAACATATTGACTAAAAGTAATGACTAAAATGTTGTGTATTTTTGCCGACTACTGAAACTAGACTAAAATTTTGCGTGATAAAAATGTCTAAAATTTGACTAAAAGTAATGCGCATTTTCATCTCAAGACTCAGACTAAATCTAAAACAGCTATCAACGCAGGGTCAGAGGAAATTAAAGACATCCACACCATAAACTGATCCAGAGAAGACACAAATTGTTGCCTAAAAATGCACCAGAATGCAGGAAGTTCAGTGTCTGATGCTCAAATTTTCTGACCGAGGACCCCCCAACTCCTCATTTTACATGTGTCCCTCCCCAGTGTTGAAACTAAACCTTACTCCCTTTATATATAAAATACATTCACATGTGTCATCAGAAAAGTCCAGATGCAGTAATGTTCCTGTCTTCCAGTTTCAAAATATACCTGGAGCTGAACGATGAGACTGTGAATTCTTGGGAGAGAGTCAGCTGCACCTCGATGATATTCAGTCTGTTCAATGTCTGGAAGCCGCGATCGAAAGTGATCTGCAAGCTGAAGACTGATCAGCTGCCTAAGATCGTCGATGGAAAGGACCTTCATGGCGGGCGTATGTACAGTTGGCTCTGATGTTTGTGGTCACATAAAGTTAGGATTGTGTGAATTAAAAAGTGTGCAAATTTAAAATATCACACGAACTTAAATGACACAGATTAACAGGTTACTACCTCATTGTTTATAGGTGGTAGGGTAGTGGCTGAAGTGTGTCACCATGGTTATAAAAATGTTGTTGGATGAACATTATTGACGTCCTCCTCAGCTGAGCAGTGACATTAGCTAGCTCAGTGGTGCTAGGTAGGGTTAGGCGATATTGAAATTTCCCTGGTGACCATATTGCTTTAGGATAATTAACTATTATCATCTACAAAAGCTGAAGAGAGACACAGATAAATATCTATGGACTGGAGACGCATACAGTGGCATGTTTGGGCATCCCTGGTCAAAATTTCTTTCACTGTAAATAGTTAAATAAAGTAGAAGATGAACTGATCTCCAAAAGGCAGGAAGTTAAAGATGGGACATTCTTTTCAACATGTGAAGCAAGATTAGAGTATTATTTTTGTTTTGTACAATTTAAGTGTGAAAAAAGTAAAGGAGCACCATGTAAGTTTGGGCACCCCAAGACATCTGAGCTCTCAGGCAGCTTTTCCCAGGGTCTCGGACCTTAATGAGCTTGTTAGGGTTCCTGCTTGTTCACAGTTATTGTTAGGAAAGGCCAGGTGATGCTAATTTCAAAACTTTATAAATAGGGAACTGCCCATTGGTCCGACAGCCCATTGGTCTGACATCCCATTGTTCCGACCATATTAAACCCATTGTTCCGAAGTCCGTTCCGAAATCATCATGATGCCCTGTGGTTAAGGTCTGGTTAGGTTTAGGCACAAAAACCACTTGGTTAGGGTCAGGAAAATATCATGGTGTGGGTTAAAATGAAAAATAAAGTGACAAACACATAAGCCGTGAGCCTGCTCTGCCTCAAGCCTTTCCCAGCTGACCCAGAGCCGGTCGCGGCACACCATCAAGGCAGAAATACGCCCGCCGGGAGCCGTTCAGCACCGCGGACCGTCGGACTAATGGGATGTCGGACCAATGACATGGACCCTATAAATACTCTGACTCCTGAAACCTTGTCAAAAACATTTAGCAGCCATGGGCTCCTCTGAACAGCTGCCTAGCACTCTGAAAACTAAAAGACCTGATGAAGACTATAAGAAAATAGCAAAGTGTTTTCAGGGAGCTGTTTCCTCAGTTGGTCATGTCAGTAAGAAATGTCGTTTAACAGGAACTGTGGAGGTCAAGCTACCTATGGCTAAGCCACGCCCCCCTCCACTCACTCTGACAAACTATTTTTTATTTTATTTTATTTGTTTATTTACGAAGAACGGTTCAAAAGACCCTTCATGATGGATATAAACAAGGACACGTGTACTCGGCCCAGAGGGTTACCGGGGCCCTGCCCTGGAGCCAGGCCTGGGGTTGGGGCCCGTGGGCGAGCGCCTGGTGGTCCGGCCTTCGCCCATGGGGTCCGGCCGGGCCCAGCCCGAACCGGCTACATGGGCTCGTCCCCCTGCAGGCCCACCACCCGCAGAGGGATCCAGAAGGGTTCGGTGCAATGTGGATTGGGCAGCAGACCAAGGTGGGGGCCTTGGCGGTCCAATCCTCGGTTACAGAAGTTGGCTCTTGGGATATGGAATGTCACCTCTCTGGCGGGGAAGGAGCCGGAGCTTGTGGAAGAGGTTGAGCGCTACCGGCTAGATATAGTCGGCCTCACCTCGACATATAGTTCCGGCTCTGGAACCCTAGTCCTTGAGAGGGGTTGGACTCTCTCCTTCGCTGGAGTTGCTCCGGGTGAGAGGCGGAGGGCCGGGGTGGGCTTTCTGATAGCCCCCAGACTCTCTGCCTGTACGTTGGGGTTTACCCCGGTAGACGAAAGGGTTGCTTCCCTGTGCCTTCGGGTCGGGAAACGGGTCCTGACTGTTGTCTGTGCTTATGCACCGAACAACAGTTCAGAGTACCCGCCCTTTTTGGAGTCCATGGGACAGGTGCTGGACAGTGCCCCGATCGGGGACTCCATTGTTCTGCTGGGGGACTTCAACGCTCACGTGGGCAATGACAGTGGGACCTGGAGGGGCATCAATGGGAGGAACGGCCTGCCCGATCTGAACCCGAGTGGTGTTCAGTTATTGGACTTCTGTGCGGGTCGCAGTTTGGCCATAACTAACACCATGTTCAAACATAAGGATGTCCATCGGTGCACGTGGTACCAGGACAGCCTAGGTTGCAGGTCAATGATCGACTTGGTAGTCGTATCATTTGACCTGCGGCCATATGTTCTGGACACTCGGGTGAAGAGAGGAGCAGAGTTGTCAACTGATCACCACCTGGTGGTGAGTTGGATCAGATGGTGGGGGAAGACGCCACGCAGACCTGGCAGGCCCAAACAAACAGTGAGGGTCTGCTGGGAACGCCTGGCGGAAGAACATGTCCAGATGATCTTCAACTCCCACCTCCGGGAGAGCTTCGACCGCGTCCCGAGGGCAAAGGGGGACATTGAGTCCGAATGGGCCTTGTTCCGCTCTGCCATTGTTGAGGCGGCAGTTGTGAGCTGTGGCCGCAAGGCCGCTGGGGCCAGTCGCGGCGGTAATCCCCGAACCCGCTGGTGGACACCAGAGGTGAGGGGAGCCGTCAGGCTGAAGAAGGAGGCCTACAGGGCATGGTTGGTCTGTGGGTCTCTGGAAGCAGCTGACAGGTACCGGCGGGCCAAGCGGAGCGCAGCGGCGGCAGTCGTTAAGGCATCATTGTTAATCTTATTCACGTTGAGTTGATGTTGTGGTCTAACGTTACCACACAACTTTATCCAAAGGAGACACTTTTCTCGCTTGAGATGTGGTTTAAAGTGTAAAAAATACACCTGGTCGCCCAGCCTCTCAGGATACCTTGTGTCAGAGTTGCATGTACCCCATGCACACCGTTTGACCATTTTTAAACTTCAAATCTCAGAAAAAGTTCATAAAACCGAACAAAACTGACTTTCTGTAATGCATTTCAATGGACGTCCAGGCAGAGAATGTCCCAGTGTATGGGAATGGCTATACGCACTGTGATTGGCTCATCACGTTTGAGGGCGGGGCTTAGCCATAGGTCAGTTGTTTGAAAGGCAAATCAAAACCCCTGTTTGACTGCAAAAGACCTGCAGGAAGATTTCTCAGACTCTGGAGTGGTGGTGCACTGTTCTACTGTGCAGACACACCTGGACAAATATGACCTTCATGGAAGAGTCATCAGAAGAAAACCATTCCTGTGTCCTCACCACTAAATTCAGCCTCACGAGTTTGCAAAGGCATCACCATCTACTGTTATGCTGTAGTTGCCTGTATTTCTGCCAGCCTCAGCTAATTTTACTGCCCTGCTCTCGTCCACTAAAATGATAACCAGTTACTCATCGACTGTCTCTCTGATTCCGTGTGAACGCAGCATTATCTTGGCCAACAATATCATGTCCACCAAGCCTAGTGCGAGGTGAGCTAGCAGTAGATGCACGCTTCCTTCTGCTCGGTGATTCAGTTAGTGGTTATAGATGTGGATGACCGACCATGATTGACTCACGTTTTCACCTGTGCTCTGTCACTGTCCCTTCAAGCTTTTTCTTTTGTTCTTTGGTCTGTTCTTTTCGTTTCTCTTTGCTAATCCAGCCCCAGTACCAGCTATCAAAATGTTCTAAAGAAAAGTCTGCTTCTTTTCTTTTTGATTCATTCATTTTCCATAACCGCTTATCCCCTTGGGGGTCCCGGGGGGGTGGAGCCTATCCCAGCTGACACTGGGTGAGAGGCAGGGTTCACCCTGGACAGGTCACCAGACTATCACAGGGCTGACACATAGAGACAGACAACCATTCACACTCACATTCACACCTACGGACAATTTAGAGTCACCAATTAACCTGCATGTCTTTGGACTGTGGGAGGAAGCTGGAGCACCTGGAGGAAACCCACACTGACACAGGGAGAACATGCAAACTCCACACAGAAGGGCTCCCCCACTCTGGGTTCTTGCTGTGAGAGGACAATGCTAACCACTGCACCACCGTTCCACTCCTGTTTTACATAGTCATCATAAAATCTCATAGTTTTGTAGCTCCCATTATTCTGTCTGGGAAAAACTAATATCACAGTTTTGCCAATGAGCAGGGTCGTAAACATAGTCTCATACAGAAGTGATGGTGATTTGCTGTTCATTGTCCGTCTGCTTTAGTCCCTCCAGATAAACCTGAAAATATTACCTGTGAAACGTCACGGAGCTCAGATTTTATAGGCTGCTCATGGGAGAGAGGACAGGAAACGTACCTCCCTACGACCTACAACATTTCAGTCTACAGGTATGGTGTTCTTTTTAGGTCAAATTAAACTACTGCCTTGTATTTCTCTTGTACACGCTTATGACAGCAGCAAACCTTATTTAATACATGTTTTATTATCAGAGAAAATGGGACCCAAATACTGTCGGATCAGATCCAGGACGCTGGAGAAATCACCATACAGCGAGCAGCGATAGACGAAAACACTACATACCACTTGAATATCACCGCTTACAACCACTTAGGAGCATCACGGTCTGATCCATTCGTCCTCTGTGTAAAGGATATAGGTAAGCTCTCACTTCTGTTGCACTTAAACACATTTTGTGAGGGAGGGTGCATGACCATGACACTGTTTTTAAAGATTTCTTTACCTGAATTTTCAAGTATTTTCTGTAGAAATGAGTCATCCTGTGAACAGTCATGTTGTTCTGTCATCACTGTTTGACTAATCTGACCTGGCTATCAGCAAACTGTTTCTCTGTTTCTGTAATATCTCTTTGAAGTGAGCCTCCCACTCTCTCCCTCTGCCCACCTTTGGCAAGTTTTGACATCTGTAGCAACAGACTTGGCATCTTTAGTCATTACAGTATTAGCTTTATGTTTTATTTTATAGTTATTTGGGTGTGCTGCCAGTTCGCACTGAGTCATCACTTTAACTAATGTGCACGCTTCTTATTTGTTCTTTTGTGTCGCAGTGATACCGGAGAGCCCTCGTATTGTGCAGGTAGAATTTGGGAATAACTCAGCGGCTGTGTTGCAATGGGAAACAGCTGACTCCTCAGAGCATCTCACATCTGATGTCAGGCTCCGCACAGATAAAGGCTCCTGGGTAAAGTGATGTTATGACACCCATGGTAGAGGCTGTTTGCAGCATCTGCATTAATCAGGCAGCATGCAGGAAGAATACTTCACCCATGGAATGATCGTTATCAGTTACTCACCCTGTGTAACGCTGAATTCTGGAGGAAAACTGTTCTCACATGCCTCCGTTGTGAACGAAGAATCCAAAAACTGAGAAAGGTCTTGATGAGCTGGAGATGTGGGCTGCGTTTAGAGGAAAACTGTGCAGTTACTGTTTGTAAACATGCTGAAACTGAAAACTGAAAGTAAATGCAAACCACAGATTCACTCTCGTTTGGGGTTTGGCGTTTATACATTTGGGGATTTTTAGCGCCGTGTCTGTTGCCTGCTCCTTACAGGCTGACTACTGGTTGCTACTTTTCTGTTTTTAAAACCCAACGTTACCTATGCACTGTGGAGTACACGCCCACAAACGTTTGAACACAGGAAATAAGAAGGAAAAAAAAGGAAATTTCAGACAGAGGGCAGAGTCTTTGCAGAAAAATACCTCTACCTGGTGATAAGTGATGATTGAGAGGGATTACCTCTGTATGAGCTATACAATGTTTTGTTTTTTTAAGAAAATCCTGCAGAGTTTATCTTTAACAACAGCAAAACTATATCAAACCATTTGTTATAAAACTCTCACACAGCTCATGCAGTATAATCCAAGTCTCATGTATCCCGTCATATGCTCAGTACTTTCCAAACACGTGCCTTATTGCTGAAAACTTACCATTTAAAACACCTCTGCATATGAGCAGCATATGGAGCTACATTTGTTTCTTTATTATTCAATCAAACAGAGGAGGTTTTGCAATCAAAAAAAAAAGATTTGAGAGCAAAAGTATCAATATTGCCAGTAAAAAATTATTTTTATTAAAAAATGCAAATCCTAAAGTTTTATTTGCGAGTCATTTTTTTTTTAGTTTGCAAGTCAAAAAAGTTTTGCAAGTAAAAAGTTGAACCTGGTGGGCGGGGCCTAAACTGAAAGCTGTAAGACACGTCTGTACTGGCCAGTCTCGATAGGAATGACAGCTTGCAAAGCAACATGGGAGTTCTGTAGTTCATGAGGAATTCAGTGTGGGAGCTGTGGCGAAAATCAATGAGCAGGTACATTTATACATAACTAATAATAAGCAAGAATGTTTTATTTGAACTGGTGCATGTGGATTGCTTTTGTTTAGCCAGGGCAGAACTATTCGACAGCGTTACAGTCAGTACCGTCGATGCCCCAGAGTGCAGCAGTAATGCCGACTGTCAAGCATTTCCAGTGGGAGAGAGGGAATCGTGGGTGTAGCCCGCTCTGTATGGAGCCACGTCAAACCCACCAATAGAAACTCTTCTCTCATCCATCAGCGTAGGCCCCGCCCATTAAGTGCAGTTGAACTTGCAAGCAAAATTTTAACTTGCAAGCAAAGAGGGCTGATCTGCAAGCACAATGATCACGTTTTTACTTACAAACTTGATTTTTGATTGCAGTTCAAGACATATGCTCTGAAAACAGTTTTATATGATTGCAACAAGAAGACACAAAAATACCTCCACAGTAGCACACCTGGACAAGCACGCATTTGAGATGCACACGCTTGGCCAGGCATGATACTCGTCTGTGTGTGAAGCAGAAAAAAACACCTGAATCTGTTAACTAAGAGTTGGTCTTAATTGCACTTGGACGACAATAACATATTGGGATTGCAAATGTTTGCGGTGAGTTTTAGAAGGTTTACTTCTCTCATTCATTTCATTCCAAACTCACTCTGTTTTGGACTCTTTGTTCACCATGGAGAGATTCTTCTGAAGTTTTCTTCACAAATTCAGCGTAACGTGGTGAGTAACTGACGTACAGATGATCATTTTGTGGGTGTATAAGTATTCATTTAATATCTTGCTGTTTTTTAGGAAGTGAGAGCGGGAACAGAGCTCAGTGGGGGTCTGATACGAGTTGACGGTCTGAGGCCTCTGACTGAATATGAGTTCCAGATGAGAACATGTCACTCACCATCAGGACGCACTAACATGCCCAGGTTAACCTCCGGCAAAAGATTGTCTTGCAGCAAATGGAGCCCATCCATCAAAGGGACAAGTCCTGGAAAAGGCAAGCCCACCCACACTTATTACTTATCACGTCAAGCAGGAAGTCTGAATGTGATGATGTGAGAGTTTTTCATTGCTTGTATAAACCCACAACTTGTGGTTAACCTTATCTGCAGGTCCATCTCAGCAGTTGCATGTGTGGAGGATGTTAGGCGGCACAGTGACAAACCAGCAGCTGGAGGTGACTGTTCTGTGGAAGGTAATGTGTCATAGCTGTTCATTTTATATCATACATTCATACAAATACTCATAATCAAAGGAATAGTTTGTCATTTTGGGAAACATGCTTATTTGTTTTTTAGTAGAGTTAGATTCAAAGATTGCCATTCTAAATATTAGTGTGTTGAAAATAACTTTCTCTTGGCAGTGACCTGCTGGACTGTGCCCAGCCAAGACATAGTGACACAACCCCCCCATGAAATCACATCTTGTTTTTACACTGTTTTTTTGTACAGATTAGACATAGGTAATTTGTTAACTAGTGGTCTTTAAAAGTGGCTTTTGTTACCTCTGGACTGAGCCTTGCTGTGTCTCCCTCTGGTTTAGTCTTTATGCTAAGCTAAGCTAACCATCTGGTAGCTGTGGGCTCATATTTAATTGACAGGTGTGACAGTGGGATTGAACTTCTTATCTAACTCCTGGCAAGAGAGGGTATTTTAAACTGTCAAACTATTCCTTTAAAACAGTGGTTTCCAACTGGTCCAGCCAGGGGTCCAGATTTCTCCTCAGTCATTAGTTTAATATACTTAGCATCACACTTGCGTTTGTCCATGTCGTCAAGCTAGTTCGCTGTCTCTGTTAAGTAGCTATGTGTTAGTCTGTCACTCTACAGCAGGAAACTGCACTTCAAAATAAAACACCTGTGCTGAAAATTCACTGTACTTCAAAATAAAGTGTGTTTTTTTGCAAACTGCGACCCACTTTTGGACCACAACCCACCAGTTAGGAACTACTGCTTTTAAACATACTCACTGGATGATGTTGAAATGTAAACCTGAAGTGATGGATGAACTTCTCCCACAGCCTCCACCTCCAGAGGATTACAGTGGAGCGTTACATCAGTACAAGATCTTTCTAGGTAATGACCACAAACAGGAAGTGACCTGTCGTGCTGCTTTGAGTCAGTTTTCACTTCCAGTACCAGCCGAGGTCCAGGCACTGAGCATCAGTGCTGTCACCTCGTATGGGTCGTCTCCACCGGCTGAGGTGCCACTCAGACACTCAGGTACGCAAAAATGAGACAGAGATGATAAAAAATGAACAAAATACGTTTAAAGGGAAAGTTTGTCATGAAATTAGAAATGTAGATTTTTTTCGCTTACCTGTAGCGCTATTTATCAAACTAGATTTTTTGGGGGTGAGTTGCAGAGTGTTGCACATATAAGCTATAGAGAGGTCTGCCTTCTCTCCGCTATAATGGAACTAGATGGCACTCAGCGTGTGGTGCTCAAAGCGCCAAAAATTACATCTCAACAAACAAACTCAACAGCAATGTCTCTTTCCAGAAATCATGACCTGGTTACTCAAGATAATCCACAGATCTCTCTGTGAAGAGCATCATGTAGGAACTACTTTCTTTCTACTAAACCCCACCCACCAACCGTATCAACGTGCAGAAGGAAGCGTGCATCTAGTCATGGACGAGAAGCTCATGGTTGTGACAGAGCGAGGTGTAAGCATTGATGGCGTCCTCCTCGGTTCAGCGGTAACGTCAGCTGGCTCTGTCATGCTAACACTTCACTCTGTGTGGTGATTCGGTTGGAAGGTGTAGTTCGGTAACCTGCCTCAGGGAAGATGTCGGTGAAGATTCTCAGTCATCCACGTCATGGTACTCTGTATCATAGGCATCTGGACTTGCTTGAGTTTCTTGAAGACATTTTGCCTCTCATCCAAGAAGCTTCTTCAGTTCTAACTGACTGGTGTGGAGTCGCAGGTTTTAATCTCCATGTGTGTGTGAGCCCTCACAGAGTGTGAAGGTCGAATGTGAGTCGTTGACCCACCTGGCCATCTTGTGTGTCGTTAAGGTTAGATGGGTCCTGGTGGGAACTGATGTTAAGCCGTCTGGGTAGGGATCCCAAGACTGGCACCAGTCAGTTAGAAGTGAAGAAGCCTCTTAGATGAGAGGCTAAACGTCTTCAAGATACTCAAGCGAGTCCAGTTGCCTACGATCCAGCACTTATGATGTATCAGGGAAGTTTTCAGGGAAGCGTGCATCTACTGCTCACTCACCTAGCACAACTGAGCTAGCCAGCATCACAACTTGCCATTAACATTTTGGCTTGTTCTCATTCTGAAGTCGTCATATACCGCAGCTTTGTCAGTGATTTCAGCATCAGACACTGACATCACCAGCCACCTTTCACAGTGGTATTGTTGTCACGCAGCCGGACGAAACCTTTTGCGGTGTTATGATGTACCTCTGCTCGGCTGGACAGCACCTGTAGTATGATGCCTGCAGCATGCAAACAAAAAACCCTGGACTTTTACCTGGGAACCCGGTGTTCACTTCCTGTATGAAAATAGAACCAAACCGTGATGTTTTTTTCTAACCCTAACCATGTGCTCTGTTGACACCCTGGCACCGCATCCCAGAATGTCAGCAGCAGACGCAGGAGGATACCTAGCGCATTAAATGTAGACAAGAAGGTTCACTGACAGAGCAGTGATATGTAACGACTTGAGATGAGAATGTGTTGATCATTTACGTCTCATGCTGTCACCAACACGAGCCTCTCGTCCATGAGTAGATGCACACTTCCCTCTGGGGTGATTAGGTTTGAAGGCCTAGTTTGGTAGACAAAAAATAGTTCCTACATGAAACTTCTCACAACAAGGTCTGTGGATTATCTTCAGTAACCAGGAATTCCTTGAGAGCGACACTGATGTTGAGTTTTCAGATGTTTTTTTTTTTTTTTTTGAGCAGCACAAGCTAAATACGATCTAGTTCTGTAATATTAGAAAGAAGGCAGACATCTCTGAAGGATGACATCTCCAACACCAAAACAATCTGGACTGATAAACAGCACCACAGGTAAGAGGAAAGATGTGTAGTTTATCTTTGATTTTGGGGTGGACTGTCCCTTTAATTTGTAAAGACAAAAACTCTAAAGTGTAATCGTTTCTTGATGTCTAACTGTTTAGGTGATTCTGGACCTGTTCTGAGACAGCTGGTTCCTGCTCCTGCTGACAGAGCTGTGTTTGTCTCCTGGTCGTGGCGAGGGAACAAACACTGGTCGACATCTGGAGACCTGCTGCTGTACTATGTGTTAGAATGGACAAGTGTACCTGCCGCCGCGCTGCAGTGGAAACGAGTGGCTAAAGATCAAAACAGCACTTCCATCACAGGTACAGAACATGGTGCAAGACATGTAGAAATACAGTGAAGCAATTTTTTGGTCCATTTTTTTACACACATGAACTTGAATCACATGAAATATTAAATATGAAGTACATGTGAGGGTGTGGTAGAAACCTATAATGGCTTATATAAAAACAAAACCCAGAGGACATACAGAAGGTAAAATGTAAAACAACAAAATCACTGTTCAAAGATTTCACACATAATGAGTGTAGTTAAAAAAAAGGAGACAAAATGTCTAGAAACAGAAATAATTGACATGTTTACAGTATTAACAAAAGTTTCTACGATAAGCATCAAATGAAATGTCAAACTTTGAATGGGCATATCTCATGCCCCGTATGTGGTAGAGACATGAAACTTTGCACAGAGTTGCCTCTCCTCACGAGGAACACATTTGCCTCAAGAACCCATAACTTCCGCTTATATAGATTTTCCGCCATTTTGAATTTTTTGAAAAACACTTCAAATGGATCTCTTCCTAGGAAGTTTGAGCGATCTGCATGAAACTGGGTGAACATAATCTAGGGACCAATATCTAAAGTTCCCTCTTGGCAAAAGTTGGAAAACTTACTAAAACTGAGCTTCTATAAGGCAATGAATATTGCGGAGGGCGTGGCTCATCACATAAAGGTGTATAACATCTCAAGGGTTTCACCCATCACCACGCAACTTTGTAGGCATATGACCACACATAATCTGAGGGGACCCCTCCATTATTGACCCCATCAAACAAAATGGGGGCGCTAGAGAGCTCATTTCTTATCTAGGCCTAACCGCCGTTTGCCTTTAATGACAGGACAGTTTAAAGCAGGGGTGTCAAACTCAGTTTAGTTAATGGGCCACATACAGTCCAATTTAATCTCAAGTGGGCCAGAGCAGGAAAACCGTCACATAATAACCTGTAAATAACAACACCTCCAAATTTTCCCTTTCTTTTAGCACAAAGACGCACTATGAAAACACTCAAATCATTTACAAAACAGATGATGAACAGCCTGAGATGCCTAAAAAAAGAAAAGAAAAATAAGTCCAGTTTCAACAGTATGTCTCATGATCATGATAAGTATTCATTGATTTTTCAGATAACCGTGTTCTGGTCTGGGTGAAAAGCCAGTGAGGTCGGTCACTAACTGTTTAACTTGCTCCTAAACCTGACACCTCTGAGCCTTGACAGGTCTATCACTATTTGGTGTGCAGTGGCGGCTGCTGGTCTTTCAAACAGGGCAAGCTCACTTAAAGTTTACATCATAACATTTGTCATCTTGTAGCAAGGCAGTAACTTATAAAAGGAACATTTAATTGAAGGCGTTTTCAACGACACTCATGCCATAGAACCACAGCAACACACACCTCAAAGATTTTCAGATGGGTTTAAAGTCCTGAACTGTACTGTACAAACGGTGAAAATGAGCTACATCACTTATGGAAATAAGGCACTCCGGACGGCACTCTGTCAGAAGACTCCACTCGCAAATATCTGCACAGGACTGAGCTCGAAATGCGAAGCGCTGTCAATCACAAAGGGGTTCAGCCTTTTAAACACTTCCTCCAATCATCATGCAGACACCGAGCGTCCTCTCCCGCCTACTGCTTCATCAGGTCCCGGGGAAGCTGAGCCTCCCTGGAAGTGACGATTTTGTCGCATTTATCCAATGAGCGTCTCGCTTTGCTGCATGAAAAAAACCTGCTCAGCGCTGTCTCACAAAACTGGTGATAAACAGCTGACGTTTGAACATCATAGTCGTGATGTTAAACGCATCCTACCGCACGTTTAATGCAACGTAAATTCTTATTTTAATGTAAATTCAATAGTGCATATTTGACCATTTCTTCTATGAAATTTTAGGGGAAGTTCAGCCTCCCTTGTTGTCTCAGAGCAATCGCCCCTGTTGGTGTGCAAAGTCATCCAGTGGGCCAGACTGGACCCTTTGGCGGACCGGTTCTGGCCCCCAGGCCGTATGTTTGACATCCCTGGTTCAGAGTGTGAATGAAAGGGGACATGCAGCAAAGAGCCTCAAGCTGGACCTGTGACCACTGCGCCAAGGATACTGCCTTTGTTCACAGGGCACCCAATTTACCCCCTGACCTACTGGGCACCCCGACTAGTGGGCATTCCCAAGTCTCTTTCTGTGCACAGACAATGACACATAGGAATCCATTAAATGTGCATTTTCATTCCATAAAATAACTAAAATAAATGGATCAAAGCTGACTGAAAACTGAGGAAAATGAAGATTCTCAGCCTCACTTGTGAGTTATAAAAAAAAACTGTGTAAATCTGCAAACTTCAGTTTTGTTTTACAGACAAATGTACAAGTTTGAAGGATGTTAATGTCAAAAAACAGTCGACAGCTGCATTTTTAAAAGAGGTGCATTTAGTTTACTGTGACAGTTTTGGGAAAAGTTGCTACTCTAATGAACTTTTCTGTTGTAATAGAGACACAGAGGCTTCAACTGTGATGAAGCAGCGGCCTCTTGTGGAGAGTTGGTGTATTACACTAGTAATTATATATATGTATATATATTATTATTAATTATTATTTTAATAACTGTAGGATTTAAAATTTCTGCTCTTAATACAGCTGAAGCCAACGTTCATCATCATAGGCTGAGTGTTTGTTAGAGATAGTGGAGCTCACGGTGAGAATGTTTGTTGTTTCAGGTCTGACTGCAGGTGTGAGGTACAACATCTCTCTGTACGCTGTGACCAGCAGAGGTGTCAGTGCTCCATCATCCAGGCTCGTCTACTCTGAAGAGAAGAGTAAGATTCACAGATGCCACATGTCCCAACAACTGCTTATTCCTTCCATTTTAATAGTTGATTGTTTTTTCAACATGTTGCAGATGTAGCATACCTTTATGAAGGAAACATATACATACTGTACTTATAAACTCAATCTACAGCCATCACACTCTCTCTGTACATGTTTCAGAGCCTGTGTCTGGTCCCAGTTTGTCAGTACCGGCTCATGAAGCCAGACAGATCCACATCCGCTGGGACGAGCTGCCTGTAGACAAGCGGAGAGGCTTCATCACAAACTACACCATCTACCTCCAGACGCTGGACTCCAGCAACACAAAACTCAGCGGTGAGCAGGCGCACTGTGTCCTTCTCTGTGTGTTTGTCTTCATTATGTGAATATAATTGAAACAAGTCGTGATTAAAAGATTAGTCGCCTGACAGAAAATTAATCAGAGGCTATTTTGATCATTGGTTTCATTGTTTTTGTGACCAAAAAACTGAATATTTTAGTGTTCAGACTGTGAGTCAGACAAACCAAGTGAGCTGCAGATGTTCCCTCGGGTTTTAGGCCATTATGAAAGACATTTTAAATAATAATAATGATAATAATAATCTTTATTTATAAAGCACTTTTCAAAACCTGTGTTACAAAGTGCTTTACATGTCAATAATTAAAACAGACAAGACATAAAAACAACAGCTTTTAAAGAACTGATAAAAACACTTCAGTGTATAAAAACTGAGGAAATAAAAGAAAGTTTAAATGAACTTAAAACTCAAGTAAAATCAGGAAAATCTCTCCGATATGACTCGACTCGACCGACCTGATTTCCTCGGGCAGATTGCTCCACAGCCTCGGGGCCCTGACAGCAAACGCTCTGTCCCCTTTAGTTCTCAGCCGGACCTCTGAAATAGACAAAGAACCTCTGCTGCCTGACGACCTCAAAATACGTCCTGGGGTGTATGTCAGTAAGATATCGGATATAGCAGGGAGAGAGACCATGAAGAGTGTTAAAAGTCATCAGTAAAATCTTAAAATCTATTCTAAAGCATACTGGGAGCCGGTGTAAAGAGGCTACAACTGGAGTGATGTGATCACGTCTCTTGGTTCTGGATGAAATCCTGGCAGCTGAAAAATAAATCAAGAAAAATTTCTGCAGATTAATCGCTGATGAAACTTAGTTGCATCCCTCCCTCTGAACATGCTGTTCTTACTTCATAATATATAAAAAAAATTCTGCCTTTTCAAAATGTTTTAATCTAATTTTTCAACACCACAAAGTTCCATTCACCTCCACTGTATCTTGGCGGCAGGTCTCAGAGACAGATACTTTAATGTCCTGTCATAAGATCAAAGCTATCTGCTGGATACAACTACGTAAGTTGTGTCTGATGTTTTGGAGGAAACACAACTTTGCTGTGAGTCGTTTCCTGTTCCTGCTCATGAGGACTTCTCTCCGTGGTGCTCATTTAACCATATGTTGTATGTGTGCGTACTTAACCTCGGTCAGACTGAGGTTTTTCAACATACACATGTGTGGGAAATCATATATGCAGTAGTATGCATATATCGTGTCTGAGCACAAGGCACCGTTACATAATGGAAAGTGTGCAGCCAGCATTCCAGTGACACTTCCCTCCTACAAAGTGTCAGTGCATCAGCAGGGTATTTCACCTCTCGCTTCCAGTAATGTGGTGAAAGTCAGACAGCAGACTGATGGCTGCTTGTGTTTGCTCTTTTGTGATTAATTCTTTATGAAAACACTCAGTATCCACATTAGAGGCAGAGCCGATGGAGCCAAACAGATGTTACAACACTGATCAAGAAAATTCATCTCCACACTTCAGCATTTCCTTGTTTTGTCTCAGGCAGCCTGACTTCAACTCACATCCCATAAACCTCTTGTTTCTGATTGTCTGTCTGAATGTGTGTGTGGCAAAGTTTCCAACATGTAGCTGAGGAATGCAGACGTTCGCTGGTGAGCAAACTGCTGCTTCAAACGGAGGCTGTCATCGTTCTCACAGTGGCTGCTCACAGAAATTCTGTGAATCATAGAAGTTTCTAGAACTGGCTTTGACCACGAACAGGAAGCCATGTGGCTACGTGCACACATGCAACTGTGAGGCTGTTACTAAGCAGCCTGCTTCGTACACTATTTCTGGCACTGGAGTGTAAAAACACCTGAGAGCTTCATTTTTCCTCTTTCTTATGTGACGTGTGTGTGTGTTTGTGTGTGTGTGTGTTGGATACAATCGCTCTTTGCAGTTACTTAAAAGTCAAAAGTGTCTCAGAATGATACATGAACAGAATCTGCATACTGTTGATCTCTCCTGAAAACTGAAATTCTTCAGCAACCGAACAGTTAAACTCAGGTGGAGTAAATTCTTTGCACAGAGAACTGTACTGGAATTTTTCAGCATTCATACTTGACGAAACAATTTTACCACAACATCCGTTTAGAAGTTGTTCTGTAGCTTTCATCATATCACACAAGCTTTGGAGTTTATACAGTTGACATAAAATTGGGTTCAAGTAATAAAAACTGGGTTAAATGTAACAATTTGGGTGTGACTGGTGACTTAGTGGTTTTTATACTCATGGTACTGGCTCCATTTTATATAAATACTTTTATGTGTGTATGTATTTATTAAATATTTACTCAAAAGAGACTTTGTGTGTTAAATGACAACATGATGGGCTACAACTCAGTTTTCTCTTCGCTCCGTATCTCTCCTCTCTTTTTCCTTCCCCTCTCTGCTTCTCCTCTCCAGGCGGCCAAAGACATTAAGGATAGGTATAGTACTCAGCCATCCATTGCTTCCCTTCTGTCATAGCCTCCTGTAACCATCTCATAATGTTGAAATATGTGTATGTAGTGTGCTGTAAAACTTCACTTAAAGGGATAGTGCACCCAAAAATGAAAATTCAGCCATTATCTACTCACCCATATGCCGAGGGAGGCTCAGGTGAAGTTTTAGAGTCCTCACATCTCTTGCAGAGATCCAAGGGGAGAGGAGGTAGCAACACAACTCCACCTAATGGAGGCTGACGGTGCCCCAGATTCAAACGTCCAAAAACACATAATTGAATCCACAAAATATCTCCATACTGCTCGTCCGTAGTGATCCAAGTGTGCTGCAGCCGCGACATAAAATGTGTGTTCATGTGCTTTCGCTGGTCTCGTGCGCAAGCGCACACACGTGAGCACGGTGCCCAGAGAGGCAGTCAGAGCTACAGGCTACAATGAGGCTAAAAACAGAGTTCAAATGACGCTTTTCCAAACAACTTTTTATGTCGGGGCTTCAGGACACTTGGATCACTACGGACGAGCAGTATGGAGATATTTTGTGGTTTCAATTATGTGTTTTTGGACGTTTGAATCTGGGGCGCCGTCAGCCTCCATTAGGTGGAGTTGTGTTGCTACCTCCTCTCCCCTTGGATCTCTGCAAGTGATGTGAGGACTCTAAAACTTCACCTGAGCCTCCCTCAGCATATGGGTGAGTAGATAATGGCTGAATTTTCATTTTTGGGTGCACTATCCCTTTAAAAGCCTAGTCCCAGTTAAATGCCCAGTCCCTTTTCCAGGCAACACATTTTGGACAAATAAACGCCTGTCTCAGTTAGACGCCTGGTCTGCTTGCCAAGCAGTTCATTTTTTTAATTGAAGTTCTTTGGACGTATAAAACCAGGTTGTTTTTAAACGTCCAGTCAAGTCAACTTTATTTATATAGCACTTTAAACACAAGCAAAGTTGATCCAAAGTGCTCTCACAGCACGCGCAGAAAATAAGAATCTGGAACAAAACAAAAGAGAGAAACACAACAGCTTGAGTGATGATAACACTAAAATAATAATAAGATCGTAATTATCACACCTATAGTGTTGTGTTTTTTATACAGACGGCTGGAGGAGGAGAGTTCCAGAGTTTTGGGGCAGCGACAGAGAAAGCCCTGTCCCCGTGACCTGGATCTCAGAACTGACAGAGGTCTTTAATCAGATGATGACAGTTCTCTCACAGTGTGATACAGGGAGAGGAGCTCTGTGATGTCAGAGGGGGCGAGGCTGTTTAACACTTTGTTAACAAACATCTGAATCTTAAAATGTGTCCTGTAGCTAACAGGCAGCCTGTGTGGGGAGGCTCCCTCTTTTTTGACCTTTTTAAAACTCTTGCTGCTGCATCTTGGACCAGTTGAAGACGTGATGTATGTGTCATGTTCCACGTGTTAAGAATTAGTATTACGTATATAAGGCTTGAGGGAGATAAACCTAACTGCGTATTGTCAAACAGAAATAATTCTGCTGCCATAACAGAGGAAACCATGATTGTCATCTGCTCCTCTCCAGTGACGGTGTCCGCCGACGGCCCCAGACAGATGTGGTTGGACTGTCCTGAAGGAGCTCTGGCTGTGCAGCTGACTGCATCTACCTCAGCAGGAGAAGGGCAGCCGGGGAACCGGGTCTGCTCTCAGCCTGACACCCCTGCAGGTCAGTCTACTGCTGCCATCACACACTCCTCCAGTAAAAACACAAACATCAACCTTTTAAAACTGCTATTTTTCACTGGTCATGAAACAGTCTCAATTTAAAGGCTCGTTTCCACCAAGCAGTCCACTTCAGTTTGTCACACACTAGAATGGATATTTTTAGCCCCACACTTTTGGTATGGTACCTTTGGAACCAGCAGTAAGCCTTCAGACATGGTACCTAGACCATGGGTCTGTTCAGACAGTCCTCTTAAATGTGGGCGGGGTTGTTGTCACTCACTGCTCCGTCCAGCACTCGCTGTATTTCCTCATCAGCGGTGACACAGATGGAAGTCTGCACCTGGTTTATCGTCCACAGAACGAGGCTGCACGCCCACATTTTCACAACAAAATAGAACAGGCTGCAGTGAGAGTCTCTCTCCATGGGATATTTAAAAATAGCAGCTTTGTGCATTTAGTCCTTCTCAGGCAAGCTCAGGGGTTTAGTGTTGCTGTAGCCCACAGGAAGTGAGGATTAGAATATATGACCTTCACATAATCCGCTCCAAATTAATCTATATTTTTAAAGTCATTACTAAAAGTGTGTGTCATATAAAAACTAAAGTGATGCTCAAAGTTGTCACAGTGAAATTTAAGGTGTGCTGATGGATTCACGTCATCAACTCATGCATTGAGTAACATTACAAGTTAACGTTCCACCTTAAAAGTAGCCGGCAGTCGGCCCAGTGAATGAAGTTATCTTTTCTCAGACTCCAGCTGCTGTGAGAGGCAGCAAAACATCCTTTCATTTTATAGTTACAGTTTACTAATAAAACTCTCCACAGTATGAACAGTGGTTACATGAGCCTCAAAACCAGACACAACTCAGCCCTGAGCAGAGTGACCGTCCTCTACTGACCAATCAGACTGCAGTGTTCACAGCTCCACCTTTTAGTACCAGATCTGTGTGCTAGGTACCCCAACAGAGGGGGGACCAAACATGGGGACGCTAAGGAATGGTTCCATTCACTGTGCTGCTGGAAGGCTACCACCAGCTGCTACCACACAAAGCATAAGTTGACGTCACCATCATTACAGTGCGTCCTGGCAGTGCAGGCTGTTCTCACAAATGTTTCGTATATTTTCCCTGTGAAAAGCAATGCACCCAAATTCGCACATATCCCAGTGCACTGATGGCAGTAAATAATGAGCGCAGGTTGGAGCAGTGGATGGGTCACAAAAAATTGAACGTTCGCCCCAGACTTGTGTGTTTGGATCCACGTGAACTTTGAGCCATTTTAAAGTATGTCCTCACCATGTTTCTTTTCCTAAATCTGACCACAGTAACTTTTACTGCCTAAACCTAACCTCTGTAACTTTACATTAATTACGTAACTGTACGCTAACGTCATTTGCTCTTCTCTAAACACTCCAGCCTGTTCTTTTTTGTGCTGGTAAAATGTTTCACAACCCTGTTCTGTGGATGATCAGCAAGGTGCAGACATTTCTCTGCAATATGGGTGAAGTGAGAGCTGGACGGAGCAGCGACAGGGCTATTAACACCTCTGACTACATAATAAGAGGACCGCCTGCGGTGCAAATGCAAATCAGATCTGCAGTAAAAGTGGAACTACGCCCATTATCGAAATTCATACATGTTATTCCTATGGCCTGAGATAGTTCAAAAATATAGGTAAACATGAACAACTCTCCCAAATCCAAAAACTAGCGTGCTAAAACTCATATTTATGAGGCCAAAGGGTAAAAAGTCTGGAGCTGAATGGTGAAAGGTGTTATAGATGGCACTGAGAGCACCCAGGGGAACGTTATGAGTGTATGTTTGTGGACATTTTCTGGTTCAGATTTTCTGGTTCATATTCATGAACACAAGAGAATAAAGATTATTTGGGTATAAAAAAAGAAAACAAACATACTGTGAGTCCACAACATCAGGCTCCCACTCATTGTCTATGGAGCAGCTCCAGACTTGATGACATCATGAGTTTTAGACTGATTTCTCAGGTGTCTGAGAGACTCGCTCATGTTCACAAATATTAACTATGCTAGTCCATGAAAAAACATATTAATTCTTGATTTAGGTGGTGTCCGTATGGATTACATACAGTTATAAGGGTACTGTACAGAAAGTGTTTTAGGGAACGCAGCTTAATACTGATGCTTCTATATGACATACGTGAGGAAAACAAGACCATCAGCGAGAAGATTGGCTATTTCTGTCTATATTATTAATGCCTGTCCCCATAAAATCAGATGAAACAATGTACAGCAGGGTGTCGAGTAGCTCACCTGGGAGAGCAGGCACCCCATGTGTAAAGGCTACGACTTTGCTGCATCATCAGTGGGTTCGATTCTGACCTAAAGCTGTAAATCATTCTCTCTCTCTTCCAATTTTCATGCCACCACAGTCCCGTCAAATAAAAGCCAAAAGAGCCCACAAAAATAATCTTAAAAAAAAATAGAAACAATTTACAGCAGGGTGTTCGGCCAGTGTTTCTCAAATGGTGTGTTATAACCGCACATTATAATAAACAGGCAAACACTAGCTAAAAAATAATGTAATTTAATTTTTAAAAAAAACCTTCACGTGGAAACTATTTGTCCTCGTTTGTGTGTGGGAATTATACATGTGTGACACATCAAAAGCCCTGATTGGCTGCCAGTGTGAGGGATGATAACGATTAGAAGGAGAAAGTTGTGAGTGGGACGATGGATCGCTTCATTGTACGGAGCAAATTACAACAAAGCACCAGCAAAGACGACCTACCACTGACTGAAAAGAGAAAAAAAACAGTCAGCAGACTATCACGAAACAACACGTCCTCACTGTGACCTCGTCACATGTCCACGTTTGGTCATGGACTTTCCACGTCCACATATGACGTCCAAGGTACCCTGGGTGTGTTGGTTGTTGACGTTCTGGGACGCCGTGTCAACTTCAGCCTGTCACATGCATTGTCTAATTTCAAAATACACTTCAGTTTTCACAGGAATTTTAATGTTCACATACAGTCTGTTTTAAAATAAGCTGGTACAACACTGCAAATCAACTTTTTTTTCCTTCAACAACAAAAGCACGCGGTTAGGTATAGGAAGAAAGAACAGGGTTTGGCTTTAGAATCTTACAGGACGTGGACACTGCTCTCTCAGGTGAAAGTCGTTGTTTGTTGGACCTATCCACCACCACTCCTGTCCGTCTCATTCAGACTTAACTTAACTTTCGTCCTTGTCCCGCCACGTTTCCCCCTGACACCGCTGTTAAACTATAACGGCAACCAGCGGCGTATCATGCCAACATTAAAGGACACCTTTTTTCGTTGGTTGAGACCAGGCTCTACCAAAACTACCTGTCTTATTTTTTCTTATTCTTATTGTCTTATGTCGTGATGAGGGTGATAACACACGTTATAGAAGCTGTAGTGCACAGATGTAAATACAGATGTGCCTAGAGAGTTTGGCTTGGCCTTTGGTGGGCACACGTTTTCAGCCCGATGATTCAGTGTCCTGATAACTCCCAACTTGTGCTCAAGTCAAACACCAGGTATTGGTCCGTGTGTGTAGGTTTTCTGTACACCTCTATGTTTAGGTTCCTGTCCTGTTCCCCCACTGGAGCACAAGTTGGCAGTTATCAGGACTCTGAATCATCGGGCTGAAAACATGCCCACTAGGAGAGAGGGGGAAGTGAAGGAACAGAAACACATCAGGGAAGCACTTCAAACCTGTGGCTATCCCAACTGGGCCTTTGCAAAAACCTCTAAAAGACCCAGAGCAGAAAGAGAGGAAGAGACACAAAAACGTAACAACACTGGGCCTCAATCACAAAAAGTGTGTACGCACAAATCTGTGCTTAAACTGTGCGTACGATCGTTTGACGCACAAATCCGGGATTCATCAATATTTTCTTACCAGAATTTGTTCTTACTCTGCGAACAAATTTAGAACTGCCTCAGACCATGCGTACACACAAATGAGGAAGGCCGAACTGACTTAGAAAATGCAAACACATACCTTTTAAGTACATGCAGAACTTATAAAACCACATTCATCAAAAGAGATTTAATTAACATTTTTTAAAATCATTAATTTACTAATATATTGGCCAAATGTATTAAATAACCATGAAACTGACACACGTTCACCCTCATCATTGTGACAGTTAAAATATTCAACGATAACAACAGTCCTAGTTTACAAAGGAATATATGAGAATGTACATTTCCAGTTTTGGCTTTCATTTAATTGTTTTAATGATCACCCACTCCCAACAACTTCTTGTGCCATGAAATTACGCATCTGTGGCCAAAGGCAATTGGTTCATTGGTAGCATGTTAAAGGGCATGCAGGGTATATAAACGATTCTGATTCACCTGAGCAAGTGTTAAGATGGCATATCTAGCCTTGCTAGAGGATATTGCAGCCCGTGCCCTGAGGAGAGAGCACGTATTCAGGGACCGACACAACATGTTCGAGGAAAATGATGAATGGCTTATCAGCCGTTTCTGATTGCCAAGGAATGTGCTGCTGCAACTATGCGATTCTCTGGAGCATCTAAATCACCCAACACGCCGTCCACCCTCGGTTTCCTGGCTGCAGGTACATTTCAGAGAGAAATAGCAGGGCTGGGATTTCACAGCCCTCTCTGAGCCGTGTCATCCCACGGGTATTAAATGGCATCCTAAGGTTATTGCCTGAATATATTAAATTCCCATATGATGAACGTAATCAGACCGATGTGAAGAGGGGGTTCCACGGCATAGCTGGAATGACAAATACAATTGGCACAATAGACTGTACCCATGTGCGCATCAAAGCTCCATCGATTGACTCAATGCAATACATGAACAGAAAAAACTATCACTCCACCAACATGCAGATGATCTGTAATGCCGACTGCCATATCCTTAACGCTGTGGCCCGCTGGCCAGGAGGCACCCACGACTCATTCATTTGCAGTACAGTGGGAACGCATTTGGAGGCAGGGGCTGTGAGAAGTGGATGGCTTGTTGGAGAGCATCTTTTGTTCTAGTCTTTTATTTTAATTGTTTTTAGGTAGTATTTTTAGTAAGTCTCTATTCCATTATGCTAAAATGTTATATTGTTTAGGTGACCGGGCATATGGCCTTAAAACATGGCTGATGACACCATACGCAAACCCTGAAACCCCTCAAGAGATGCGTTATAATAACATACATGCCCACACACACACCGTAATAGAGTTTACTACTTCTCTCCTCGTGTAACCGCTTCCTTCATCCATGAATCAACTCTAGGCAAGCGGTTTCCTTATATGGAGAAATGGGGGCGTGGTAGTATGCTAATAACATATTGCCAGCACGCGCCTGTCAATTTAGAATGATTCTGATTCACACACATACGCAAGGTGGTGAGAAAAAAATTGGCTGGTGCGCACGTGTCATGAATCCCACGGTGATTTTGCGTACGCACTTATTTTGTGCGCAAAGTAAGAACATTTCCACGCACATATTAGTGAATGAGGCCCATTGTCATTCCTTATGTCGTAGGAGTGTCTGAGAAACTCAGGAGGATTTTCAACAAACACCACATCCCTGTGCACCTTAAACCCAGCAACACACTGAGACACAAACTTGTCCACCCCAAGGACAACACACCCAGACATAAGCAGAGTAATGTAGTGTGAGCAGTTCAGTGCAGCCAGGAGTGCACAGATTTATACATTGGGGAGACAAAGCAACCACTCCACAAGCACATGGCACAGCACAGGAGAGCCAGCTCCTCGGGTCAAGACTCAGCTGTCCACTCACACATACAGGAGAAGGGACACTCCTTTGAGGACAGCAAAATGCACATCTTGGCCAGAGAGGAAAGACGGTTTGAAAGAGGAGTAAAAGAAGCCATCTGCGTCAAGTAGGAGCGACCATCGTTAAACAGAGGGGGTGGCTTACGACACTACTTATCCCCCACCTACAATGCAGTCTTGGGATCCCTCCCCAGACGACTTCACCCCTGGTCCCATCTGACGCTAACGACTCACATGGTGGTCAGGTGGTCAACGACTCACACTGTGACCTTAACGACTCACGTGACCCCTAAGACTCTGCAAGGGTTCCCACCCACACAGGGTTTGTAGCCTGCAACTTCATTTAGAACCGAAGAAGCTTCTTGGATGAGAGGCGAAACGTCTTCAAGAAATGCAAGCAAGTCCAGTTGCCTACGATATAGCACTTAAGATTGTTCTGTGAAAGCATTTTCCTGCAATTCCCCTCCATTTTATGTTTAGGCAGGAGATCTTGAAGTGGGAAGATTAAAGTGGACTTTGTTTTCTTAACACTCTGACAGCTGCTAGACTGATGTGTTTCCCCCTCTTGTCTCCTCTAGTCGGCCTGGTGATTGTGACTGTTATCGTCCTCGCTCTCTTCGTAGCGATCATAGCCAACCTGATGTGCTGGAGCTGTGTGAGGGAAAGGTATTATTAAGCATTATTTGTGCTTGTACACTTCAGTTTCATGGAAAACAAGAGTCACCACAACAGACATCATCTAATCATCAGTCTCCTGTAGCTGACTGTGAATGTGCATAGGTTTTGTTTTACTAGTAACCAGACTGCACGCCACTGTGGCTGATTTCATGAAATGCCACAGCGCAGCATGAGCACATGAAAAAGCCACAGAATTAACATGAACTGAAAACCCTGTCGCAAAGTCTGTACATGTGGTCAAAGATCCCGCACTGGTTTTAGCTGTGTGTGCGTCACTTAATAGTCGCAGAATAATGTGATACAATAGATTCTTTACATCTGAAATTATGACTGCATCCGATAATAAACCATCATTATAAATACTGGATAAACTGCTGTGCCTTTTAAAACCTAATCTTCTTTCTACCTTAGGATCAAACAAACATGTATATCCTGTGGACCTGCCTGCCTCGATGAGAAGTTACCAAAACCAGGAAACAGTAATGCAATCAGACTGCTGGAGGTAATCAAAGCAAGCTAATGAAGACACTGTGTTGACATTCAGGCTTACAGGTGAACTGTGTCAGTGAAGGGCTGTCACCAAAACACCAACACCAAAAATACGAGCATAATTACACGCAGTGTTAAATAATGCATTACTGTAATCACATTACATTTGTCTGTAATGCAGTAATGTAACATGTTGCTGTTCTAAATTCAGTAATCACATTACAGTTATGGTGACACAGTGGTGCAGTGGTTAGTACTGTCACCTCACAGCAAGAGGGTTTTCGGTGAGAATCCACCGGCTGTACGAGGTCCTTCTGAGGTTGCAGGTTCTCCCCATGTTAGCATGTTTTTTTCTGGCTCTCCTCCCACAATCCAAAGACATGCACTTGAAGTTAATTGACCTATGGCTAAGCCACGCCCCCTCCACTCACTCGGACAAACTATCAACGTTCAGTGACCGGCGCTATGGCAGGTGTCACAGTACACGGCATTTCACAGGAGGCAACTGATGATTTTTGGAGACATAACGATCAAATTTTGGTGCCTCAAAGTGCCACTGAAGTTAAGGTTTTTGGCTCAGAATATGAGAAAAGGATAACGGCCTTTTTACCATCTTTACCAAGAGTGTCTCTCCGTTAGTTTGGTGCTACAGTATTTACACTGAATCATTCAGCATAACGTTTGCCAACCTTTGTTATCTCTGCCATTACAGATAAGTTAATGAAGCTAAGCTCCAGAAGTTAACGTTAGCTTAACTAGAGCCCTTTGAACAACAGCTAACAATGATGTACGATCACCAAAGTACAAAACTAGAACAAAATAGGCTAATGAACTCCCAGCAAACAAGGTGACATGATGAACAACGCAGCTAGGAGCTAACGTTAGGCTAACTTTAGCTAACGTTAGCTAGAGATGTTAAAGATAACTTTATATTTCTTTCCAGCAAAGTGACAATATGTTGCCTCAAACACAATGTTGACTTACCTTAGAACAGATGTAGACATCATTGTTAATCTTATTCACGTTGAGTTGATGTTGTGGTCTAACGTTACCACACAACTTTATCCAAAGGAGACACTTTTCTCGCTTGAGATGTGGTTTAAAGTGTAAAAAATACACCTGGTCGCCCAGCCTCTCAGGATACCTTGTGTCAGAGTTGCATGTACCCCATGCACACCGTTTGACCATTTTTAAACTTCAAATCTCAGAAAAAGCTCATAAAACCCAACAAACTGACTTTCTGTAATGCATTTCAATGGACGTCCAGGCAGAGAATGTCCCAGTGTATGGGAATGGCTATACGCACTGTGATTGGCTCATCGCGTTTGAGGGCGGGACTTAGCCATAGTATCAATTGGCTACTCTAAGGGTGTTTTCACACTTGGTCCTTTTCAGCCCTCTAAACAGACTCAGAGCGGTGACTCAGCATTTTTTGGGCATATATGAACACTCCAGAGAACTCAGACCCCTCGGTTTGCTTCAAGACCACGGTGTGGTTCATTTAACCTGTGCACTGTGAACACAAAGCACTCCAGGTTCACTTTGCTCCTTGCCATTATATTTAGCCCTCTAGATCACATGCTGTTACACTGGGACGCTTCAAAAAACAGATGAAACCACGTCGGCCTGTGACACTTTCAAGGATGCAGCACGAGGAGTAGTTTGGTCCACAGAAGATACTGCACGTCTCCAGATGTGGAATGTAGAGTACATCTAATGGCAACAGTCTACAGCACAGACACATCTAAGGTTTTCCCCCACTGGTTTCACACTTCACCATTTCAGCACTGAGAGCAGTGACGCAGCATTTTTTGCACGAATGTGAACACTCCAAGAGAACTCAGATCCCTCTGAAGCGAGCCAAACTCTGAGTACGGTACAGAAACACCCTAAACTGCCAGTACGTATGAATCCTGCTGTTTGCAGGTTCCTTGAAATCCTGGAATTCGTTCGATGTGTTCAATGACGAACCAAAGGTGCCTCGTACTTTCGTCCATGCTCTGTCATCGTCCCTTTTAGCTGTTTTTTTTCCTCCATCACTTCTTTTTCTCTTTGCTGTATCTGCCCCAGCATCAGCCATAAACACAAAATAATAATTCAAAAATCAGAATTATCGCAAGAAACATTCCTGCTTCCGTGCTGTCTGGTCTTGCAGAGGATCAGACAGGCATGAAGAAGAGCTATATTGAATACCCAGTCTTCTTGCTGATGGTCTTATTTGCTGATGCAGATCTTAAATTGAGACTGTTTCATAAACTTTTGCTTTGTTTGTTTTTTTTATCACCAGCAGTATGGAAGTGAACTGTCCTTCTCGTCCACCGACGGCGACCCGCCGCTGTCCCCGATCAGTTTAGTCTCCCAGGAAGAGAGGGATGAAATCTACCCCAACATCCACGTTGAAATATCTCAGGTTGAATCGGGACAATCCACAGCGGAGACACCTCTGCTAACGTCACATCTCCAGACGATGCTCGTCGACGGACAGCTGGAACACGTCAGCTACAAACCTCAGATTGCTACGGTGCTTCCACAAGGAGAGGAGGTGAAGGAGGCAGAAGAGGAGCAGAGGGATGTACCCACTAGTGTGGAAGAAAACGGATGTGTGTTTAGAGGATTCCTGGGAGACTTTCTGTCCACTGTGGAGGTGGATTGCACTGGTCCACCTGTGGGGCTGACTCTCAGCTCTGTTGGCGAACTTTTGTGGACCAAAACACCTGGAACAACAAGTTTCTTGAACAGAGGCTTGTTAGTGGGGGCGAGAGAGACTGAGAACAACGTGGAAGCAGACTCTCCCTCGCTGGATTTACAGCAGGGTGAAATAATGACGACTGACACAGAGGATACTTGTTTATCTCAGTATACAGCTGACACAATACTGACTGGTGGTTATTTCCCCCAAGTACCTGCTGTGAGCGACACTGAACTCTGTGACACATAGAGGTGGCAGGGATGACGGGAATGACACAAAGAGGACAATCTGCACTACTAAACGGATTTTATAGAAAGCATTATATTCAAGCACCACCTCATTTCAAGTGATGACCTCAGCGAATTTGTGTAATCGTAGAAAATCATGCTTCAGGTGATCTGTGATTATCACTGTATCAGGTCTGTTCTGTTCAAGTTACTAAATGGATCAAAAAATGTTTATACTGAGTTTGAATGTTTTTCCAGTAAGTGTGTAGCAATAGTCATTATAGTTATGTTGGCACCACTTTCTATAAAGACATACTTTATAAAGTAACTGCTGGTTTTGTTAATGTTTAATTCACCTTTTTTATGCATTAAAGATCAGCTTTTAGTCATTGTGGGGAAAAAATCCCTTTGACTTGTATATACTTCCTCCTGCCAATTGAACGAATCACCTCTGTGGTCCAGGCTGAAATATTTCAACAGCTGTTGGTTGGATTGACATGAAACCTTTTCCAGACATTCATGTTCCTCAGAGGATGAATCCTACCAACTTTGGTGAACCCCTGACTTTTCATCCGGCACCACCGACAGGACAATCACATTCATTATCTCAACATCTACTGGACAGATTAGTGCAACATTCTGTTTGAACATTCATGGTGCCCAGAGGATGTATCCTAATGACAAAACACCTTAAGTTTTCTCCTTAAGCATGGAAGGCTTAAATTCTCACAGAATCCCTTTAAAGGTTTCTTTGTTAAAGAAAAAACAATAACTCATTTACTGTGTTAAAAGATATTTCACGGTGCTTAAGATTTCAATGGAGATTACCTGTTTGTTTGGACTCACACTTGTGACGCCTGTTATCATCTAGTCTGAGTGGGTGGAAGTTCGCTGCATAGATCAGCCTCTCATTGGGCGGAATGAGCCACCCGCTGAAGTCCCGCCCTACCACCTCCGGTTGTGTAGCAGGTTTCAACACGTCCTTTACTAACTTTTGCGGTGTTTGATCTTGCGGGGATGTAGCCATTTTTCTGCCATGGTTCGCGTCCTGTAGGCGATATTTTTGTGGGCGTGTTACACCAAAACCTGTTTCCCCCCGGCAATATTTTAGCAAGCTCACCGTTGCTGTGGCACCGCCCAGAACGACTGTGATTGGTTGAAAGAAATACAAGCAGCCAGGGCGTTTTTTTCTCCAATCTTAAAGTGAGAGTCGGCCCAGCCAGACCTTTCTTTTCTTGAGGAAGGTCTGGTGAGCGAGACAAGTTATCATCTCACAAAGTTGGCTCATATACTTAGATAGTGAAGAACTGGCAGAATAAAAGAAGACAAATATTGGTCAGAGGAGGATAAAGAGAAAACTTTTGGAGGAATACAATCATAGAAAGCACAAACTACAAAGTAAATTTGATCCCCAAATACGAGAAAACGATAGTAGCTTATCCATCAGGTTCTCCTGGTCGCAGAACAATCTTCTCAGGGTGTGTTAGTTTTTTCATTTATCATCATAAACACGGTCATGTTGCAGTTAAGACAGAGTCAGAGGTACCTTAAGTTTATTTTTACCTTGCTTTGGTTGCTAAGGTCTTTTGTGCAACGGTCTAGGGATTCCTTAAGTATAAGACCAAGACAAGGAGAAAACCATAAATACTAAAGTGAGCATCTTAAGGAAACCTTAAGGAAAAGACTTAAGGGTGTTTTGTGCAACTGGCCCCTGACTTTTAATTTCGTGCCACTTGACATTTTAAATTTTTAATAAAATGTCTCAACAACTACTGGAGAGATTGCCATTAAATTTGGTACACATATTCATGTTCCCCTCAGTAGGGAGGGATTACTAAACAGATGAGAAATGACCACATATACTTGCAAAACAACCACAAAAAGACACAAAATGACCTCAAAGAGATGCAAAGGAACTGCAAAGAGACACAACACAACTACAAAAATGCAGGATTTACCATTGTTATAAAACATATCATGAATTTCTTTAAATTTTGAACGAACAATGTCTCATTTATATTCTGATTTTTGTTATGTCATGTCCATTTTTTTTTTTTTTTGTAGCGCTTCCTATTGGTCGATTTGAATAAAACTTTCAGGGTGTGTTTCAGGTACTTATGTGAACAGATCCTGCAGGTCTCATGATAATTGTCCCAACAGTTATTGACTACTCATGTGCAGCGGTGTGGTAATGTGGTGTCGTAACACCAGCCAAAATGGACTTTGCATAAACTGGCAACCAAAGCGTGCTTCTTTCATCTGCCTTATTGCTGATATATAATTGATAAGGTATTTATTAGACATTAATTAAGTCGTAATTGACCTAAAGTAGAGACACAATTTGGAGTTATCGCCACATGCATGCCAGTATCAAGTCAAAATAGCTGCTGACAATGTCTCTGTTATTTTGATATTAGGACGTGACCTCGGTATGTTTCTAAAGTTAGCTACCATGTTTTTCGAGTTGGTGACACTGAATATGAAATTATTCCAAAACACACCCAGATAAAAGTCAGTTGGGGGTTTCCCTGTTACAGATAATGGCTCAATGTGTGGTATCATAATCTGCCACTGAACCTTACGTTTTACTCAACCATGCACCACCTGCAGTTAGATACCGTTTTTTTAAGACTTCCTGACAGCTGTCTCACTTCCTCATTGAAAATCTAAATTTCAGTAGGGTCTCTCTTTCACGGACGTTTTAATAGATCTTCAGGGGCCTCGCTCTCATTCGCAGTTAATTCATAAACCCTGAACCTAATATTGTGCTTTTGTAAAGCTGAAATGTGGTGCAGCGACAGGGGAAAGTCCCCACTACATCACACGTGGATGTCATTGAGGGAGTGAGAGACTTTGGGTTGTGTGGAAAATGTGATGATGAAAATGCATCTGAGGGTTGTTGTGGTGTTGTGTGTGTCATATACTCAAAGATATAACCTGAACGTCAGCCTGCAGACTTTTTCAGAGTATGGACTCAGTCCTATATATCCTCTATCATGGATCAAACCTGCATCTACATCTTCTTGATTGTGGCAGCTAACGAGCTTGCTTTTAATAAGAAAGCTTTGTAAATGTCTTGGCAAGAAAGTGAACTATGTATGGAAATATGGGAGGAAAATGTTAGACATTACAGGGAATAATAATCTGTAAATCTATGCACCATGTTAACTGTAAAGGCTGATAACCGGGGAAGAAGTATTCTGATCCTTTGCTTAAGTAAGAATACTAGAACTTCTCCTGTGTGCCGAGCGTTTAGGAGAACCACGATAGTCGACACAAAAATGTGAATGACCCTATCTAGAGCCAGTGTTTGGTTTGTCTGTTCTGGGCTTCTGTGGAACAACATGGCCGACTCCATGGACGATGACCAGGCATACAGATTTATAACAAAACCCAGATACAGGACGCCAAAATGGCGCCTGTTCATTGCAATCGATATGGCAGGGTTGCCAACTTTTCAAAAAACCTTGGAGTGAGATTCAGCGGGGCCGACCACAGTTTTGTCGTTTAGGCCTCCACATAAAGGTTTTGTTTGTCAGCTGATTTGGTAGATGTGATCCTGATCCCCCGCATCCTAATGGATTTTTGGGGTGCCTGCTGGAGATGGACAGGGCCTTAAACCTTACATACAAATACCATACAGAGAGACACAATAGTGGTATAGTGGGGGTCTGGGGGTCTTCCCCCAGAACATTTTGGATGTGGTAGATGTGACTTCCTGCATTCTGGTGGGTTTAGGGGCAGCATTCTGGAGATGGGCAATACCTACATTCATCCAAAGCCACCCTGACTCGCAGGGCCTTCACAAGTGAACCTGCATTCAGCTCAGAGTGACTAAACTAGTGGAAACCAGAAACTAGGACTTGCCTATGTGGCACAAGACCCACTTTGGATTTAAAGCAAAATTCATGGTTGAAATGGTTGAATATATTTTGATTAGTATCTAACTAAAATATTACTTTGGGAATAATAATATATTTTGTGTATTATTGTAGTCTAAAGAGCATTTCATGATATATTTCTAGACTATGCAAGTCTAAGAGTGCCTGGACCTAGGCCATTTCATTTCATTTTTGACATTTACAAAGCTTTCCAAATGCCTCTTGACATAGCTGTGGAAATTAATCGCAAAGTCACTTTTATGCTATAGATATTTTTTCTCAGCCAGTTATATTCTCTTCTCACCTGTGAAGACCCTGCATGATCTTCCTTGCTGGCCTCTGGTCCACTGTCTCCTCCCTGACCCTGCTCTTTCAGTCAAGTGTCTCTCGGTTCACTTGAAAAGTCACGTCCTCCCCAGCACGTGAAACAACCCGTAATCGGCTGACTGTGAGGCTAGAGTTGCCCAATCAAAGCGCAAATATGGACCAATCAGAGAGTAGTTTTCCACAGAAACATTTGGCTGCACTCCATTTCACTCAACCGGTACACCGGTCAGGCGGAGTCTGCCCCTCTCCTCTCCTCTCCACTCTCTGAAGTCTGGCTGCAAACTTCGACTCCGCCCACCTGGCGCACCGGCTGTTTGAAATTAATTTAAAATACTCAGCTGCCAGCCTTTTTTCCAGCGTTCGTCGCTGGCGTGAGAATTGGTTGGGCAGAGTGAGACCGTGACATGGAAGGTGAATGCATGTGTCACACGCCAGATGCGTGAGAGTTGGCAACCCTGGGATATGGAGCCTTACAGTCAATTTTTACCAGTGGCCAGATGGCCCACAAAGCACTTTCCCCATAGACTGTGATTATAAAAGAGATGTCTGTAAAACTGTTGACAGGATACCTCGAACTGCAAACAAGGTCAGTTATGACTGAATTTTTGATCCATGGAGGTTTTATATTTGTAAGTACTTTAAAAATCTGTGACATCATCTTAATGTGAAGTCTACAAGCTGAGCGGGAGCTTGTAGGTGGAGCCAGCAGGAAAAACACTACTGCGCATTTTAGTGGGCTGCATACCACAGAAGCTAGAGAACTGACCATGGCGTTAGTTCAGGCAGGACACGATGTCAAGCTCAGCTCACATCCCAGCTACATCAGCTGATCTCAAACAGCCCAATCAACTGATGGAGCAGCTGATTAATGGAGGGAGTCAGCTGATAGATCACATGATTCCTGTCTATGCAACCAATTGGCAAACCTCATTCAGGGTGTCTTATTTAAACTGCTCTGGCCTGCCTACTGTTGCTGCTTCCTCTGCAAGCTGCTTTGCAACCTGCCTCCACCCCAGCTCCTCCTTTTCATGCTTTCATTTCTGTTTGTCACTGGTGCTGCTCTGTTCTGTTCCCGGGGGGTCTTTGCTGCTGCTCTCCCTGCTTTAAGCTTTTCATGTAG